GTTTTAGGCATTTGAAGCCTGGCAAACGGCAGGCTCGAATGCCCTAACAAGAGAAGGCTGTGCAGGCAAAGGGCAGGCTGCAATGCTGGAACGCTGACGGCCAGGAAAGAGCAGCAACCCTGGAGCAGCAAAGGCTGACGGCCAGGCTTGGTGGAAGCTGCCGCGGAGGGTTTTAGGGGTTTGAAGCCTGGCAAACGGCAGGCGAATGCCCTAACAAGAGAAAGCTGTGCAGGCAAAGGGCAGGCTGCAATGCTGGAACGCTGACGGCCAGGTATAAGAGCAGCAACCCTGGAGCCGCAAAGGCTGACGGCCAGGCTTGGTGGAAGCTGCCGCGGAGGGTTTTAGGGGTTTGAAGCCTGGCAAACGGCAGGCTCGAATGCCCTAACAAGAGAAGGCTGTGCAGGCAAAGGGCAGGCTGCAATGCTGGAAAGCTGACGGCCAGGAAAGAGCAGCAACCCTGGAGCAGCAAAGGCTGACGGCCAGGCTTGGTGGAAGCTGCCGCGGAGGGTTTTAGGCATTTGAAGCCTGGCAAACGGCAGGCTCGAATGCCCTAACAAGAGAAGGCTGTGCAGGCAAAGGGCAGGCTGCAATGCTGGAACGCTGACGGCCAGGAAAGAGCAGCAACCCTGGAGCAGCAAAGGCTGACGGCCAGGCTTGGTGGAAGCTGCCGCGGAGGGTTTTAGGCATTTGAAGCCTGGCAAACGGCAGGCTCGAATGCCCTAACAAGAGTAGGCTGTGCAGGCAAAGGGCAGGCTGCAATGCTGGAACGCTGACGGCCAGGAAAGAGCAGCAACCCTGGAGCAGCAAAGGCTGACGGCCAGGCTTGGTGGAAGCTGCCGCGGAGGGATTTAGGCATTTGAAGCCTGGCAAACGGCAGGCTCGAATGCCCTAACAAGAGAAGGCTGTGCAGGCAAAGGGCAGGCTGCAATGCTGGAACGCTGACGGCCAGGAAAGCTGCAACCCTGGAGCAGCAAAGGCTGACGGCCAGGCTTGGTGGAAGCTGCCGCGAGGGTTTTAGGGGTTTGAAGCCTGGCAAACAGCAGGCTCGAATGCCCTAACAAGAGAAGGCTGTGCAGGCAAAGGGCAGGCTGCAATGCTGGAACGCTGACGGCCAGGAAAGGGCAGGCTCCAACCCTGGAGCAGCAAAGGCTGACGGCCAGGCTTGGTGGAAGCTGCCGCGGAGGGTTTTAGGCATTGGAAGGCTGGCAAACGGCAGGCTTGAATGCCCTAACAAGAGAAGGCTGTGCAGGCAAAGGGCAGGCTGCAATGCTGGAACGCTGACGGCCAGGAAAGAGCAGCAACCCTGGAGCAGCAAAGGCTGACGGCCAGGCTTGGTGGAAGCTGCCGCGGAGGGTTTTAGGCATTTGAAGCCTGGCAAACGGCAGGCTCGAATGCCCTAACAAGAGAAAGCTGTGCAGGCAAAGGGCAGGCTGCAATGCTGGAACGCTGACGGCCAGGAAAGAGCAGCAACCCTGGAGCAGCAAAGGCTGACGGCCAGGCGTGGTGAAGCGGCCGCGGAGTTTTTAGGGGTTTGAAGCCTGGCAAACGGCAGGCTCGAATGCCCTAACAAGAGAGGGCTATGTGCAGGCAAAGGGCAGGCTGCAATGCTGGAACGCTGACGGCCAGGAAAGGGCAGGCTGCAAACCTGGAGCAGCAAAGGCTGACGGCCAGGCTTGGTGGAAGCTGCCGCGAAGGAATTGGAGGGTTTTAGGGGTTTGAGGGGTTTGAAGCCTGGCAAACGGCAGGCTCAGGCTCGAATGCCCTAACAAGAGAAGGCTGTGCAGGCAAAGGGCAGGCTGCAATGCTGGAACGCTGACGGCCAGGAAAGAGCAGCAACCCTGGAGCAGCAAAGGCTGACGGCCAGGCTTGGTGGAAGCTGCCGCGGAGGGTTTTAGGGGTTTGAAGCCTGGCAAACGGCAGGCTCGAATGCCCTAACAAGAGAAGGCTGTGCAGGCAAAGGGCAGGCTGCAATGCTGGAACGCTGACGGCCAGGAAAGGGCAGGCTGCAACCCTGGAGCAGCAAAGGCTGACGGCCAGGCTTGGTGGAAGCTGCCGCGGAGGGTTTTACGGGTTTTAGGGGTTTGAAGCCTGGCAAACGGCAGGCTCGAATGCCCTAACAAGAGAAGGCTGTGCAGGCAAAGGGCAGGCTGCAATGCTGGAACGCTGACGGCCAGGAAAGAGCAGCAACCCTGGAGCAGCAAAGGCTGACGGCCAGGCTTGGTGGAAGCTGCCGCGGAGGGTTTTAGGGGTTTGAAGCCTGGCAAACGGCAGGCTCGAATGCCCTAACAAGAGAAGGCTGTGCAGGCAAAGGGCAGGCTGCAATGCTGGAACGCTGACGGCCAGGAAAGAGCAGCAACCCTGGAGCAGCAAAGGCTGACGGCCAGGCTTGGTGGAAGCTGCCGCGGAGGGTTTTAGGCATTTGAAGCCTGGCAAACGGCAGGCTCGAATGCCCTAACAAGAGAAGGCTGTGCAGGCAAAGGGCAGGCTGCAATGCTGGAACGCTGACGGCCAGGAAAGAGCAGCAACCCTGGAGCAGCAAAGGCTGACGGCCAGGCTTGGTGGAAGCTGCCGCGGAGGGTTTTAGGCATTTGAAGCCTGGCAAACGGCAGGCTCGAATGCCCTAACAAGAGAAAGCTGTGCAGGCAAAGGGCAGGCTGCAATGCTGGAACGCTGACGGCCATGAAAGAGCAGCAACCCTGGAGCAGCAAAGGCTGACGGCCAGGCTTGGTGGAAGCTGCCGCGAAGGAATTGGAGGGTTTTAGTTTGAAGCCTGGCAAACGGCAGGCTCGAATGCCCTAACAAGAGAAAGCTGTGCAGGCAAAGGGCAGGCTGCAATGCTGGAACGCTGACGGCCAGGAAAGAGCAGCAACCCTGGAGAAGCAAAGGCTGACGGCCAGGCTTGGTGGAAGCTGCCGCGGAGGGTTTTAGGGGTTTGAAGCCTGGCAAACGGCAGGCTCGAATGCCCTAACAAGAGAAAGCTGTGCAGGCAAAGGGCAGGCTGCAATGCTGGAACGCTGACGGCCAGGAAAGAGCAGCAACCCTGGAGCAGCAAAGGCTGACGGCCAGGCTTGGTGGAAGCTGCCGCGGAGGGTTTTAGGCATTTGAAGCCTGGCAAACGGCAGGCTCGAATGCCCTAACAAGAGAAGGCTGTGCAGGCAAAGGGCAGGCTGCAATGCTGGAACGCTGACGGCCAGGAAAGAGCAGCAACCCTGGAGCAGCAAAGGCTGACGGCCAGGCTTGGTGGAAGCTGCCGCGGAGGGTTTTAGGGGTTTGAAGCCTGGCAAACGGCAGGCTCGCATGCCCTAACAAGAGAAAGCTTTGCAGGCAAAGGGCAGGCTGCAATGCTGGAACGCTGACGGCCAGGAAAGAGCAGCAACCCTGGAGCAGCAAAGGCTGACAGCCAGGCTTGGTGGAAGCTGCCGCGGATGGTTTTAGCAGCAACCCTGGAGCAGCAAAGGCTGACGGCCAGGCTTGGTGGAAGCTGACGCGGAGAGTTTTAGGGGTTTGAAGCCTGGCAAACGGCAGGCTCGAATGCCCTAACAAGAGAAGGCTGTGCAGGCAAAGGGCAGGCTGCAATGCTGGAACGCTGACGGCCACAGGTATAAGAGCAGCAACCCTGGAGCAGCAAAGGCTGACGGCCAGGCTTGGAAGCCTGGCAAACGGCAGGCTCGAATGCCCTAACAAGAGAAGGCTGTGCAGGCAAAGGGCAGGCTGCAATGCTGGAACGCTGACGGCCAGGAAAGAGCAGCAACCCTGGAGCAGCAAAGGCTGACGGCCAGGCTTGGTGGAAGCTGCCGCGAAGGAATTGGAGGGTTTTAGTTTGAAGCCTGGCAAACGGCAGGCTCGAATGCCCTAACAAGAGAAGGCTGTGCAGGCAAAGGGCAGGCTGCAATGCTGGAACGCTGACGGCCAGGAAAGAGCAGCAACCCTGGAGCAGCAAAGGCTGACGGCCAGGCTTGGCGGAAGCTGCCGCGGAGGGTTTTAGGGGTTTGAAGCCTGGCAAACGGCAGGCTCGAATGCCCTAACAAGAGAAGGCTGTGCAGGCAAAGGGCAGGCTGCAATGCTGGAACGCTGACGGCCGGGAAAGAGCAGCAACCCTGGAGCAGCAAAGGCTGACGGCCAGGCTTGGTGGAAGCCGCCGCGAAGGAATTGGAGGGTTTTAGGGGTTTTAGGGGTTTGAAGCCTGGCAAACGGCAGGCTCGAATGCCGTAACAAGAGAGGGCCATGTGCAGGCAAAGGGCAGGCTGCAATGCTGGAACGCTGACGGCCAGGAGCTTGGTGGAAGCTGCCGCGAGGGATGTGCAGGCAAAGGGCAGGCTGCAACCCTGGAGCAGCAAAGACAAAGCAGGTTCCACACCTCCGGTGGTCCCAGGCGCCGGCCCTGCCTTGGCGAAGGCCAGGGTCGGCGGATATACGTAGCCGAGGATATTGAATTTATATTCTAGGGTCTGATCTGGTTATGACCTACTGTAGTGACTTTGGTTACATTTGGCAATATTTCAACTTGAACCTTCTCTTGTTTTTTTTGACTATAATTTTCCTGTAGTGTGTGTTAATGTTGCTTATATATATATCAGAATGTTACACAATTGTTTTTTCTTTTTTAGGGAACTGTTTTTTTCTCAGGAAACACGTGTCATTCATGACAGGTTGTCGACACAATTATGGAATATAGTAACTAAGGTAACTAAGGATTACCAGATGCCATACTGGTTGGTGGTTTGGAACATTTTTTATTTTTCCATATATTGGGAATGTCATCATCCCAACTGACTTTCATATCCAGAGGGATTGAAACCACCAACCAGCATATGTGTTTAACATTGTTTAACCTCTGGTAATTTAACATAGCTATTGAAAATGGCTATTTATAGTGGATTTTCCGATTTTCCTATTAAAAATGGTGATTTTCCATAGTTATGTTAGTTTACCAGAGGGTAACCATTCAAGCTACTAGAAATTGTTGAGACTCCGAGCCCATCGAGCATTTTTAACGACGCATGAGCGCTTACGAGGACTCCCGTCCATCCGAGGCAGCAGAGAAGGTGGGCAGTACATGTTATCCCTATGGATCCAGTTGTACCTTCTGAAAGGAAGTGGGACGGGGGTATAATTTACTATAATTTGGAGGGTTAAGCAGCTTCTCACACAGTGTTTGGATCCATAGGGTATGAATAATATTAGGCATGCTTGGTGAAATAAAATGATATGTATGATGGGGAATTTATGACCTGTTCAGTTAAACACTCACATAACTGCTTTTTGTGTTAATGCCTTTGGTCACAGTATTGGCCGTGTGCTTCGGAAGATATTGTCAGTATTGGTCAGTATTGGTTGTTTTATACCCCTTCTGTTTAGGGGGGAAATCTCAATCTCATCTCCTGGACAGGTATTATTTACACAAATCCGTAGACATAACTCTCTCTCTCTCTCTATATATATATATACACACTGCACACTATAACATAGACATTGAATTCCTATCACTTAGATCATTTCAAATTTCCGGTCTTAGGAAACAACGATGGATTTCCGTTGTGTTTTTCACAAGAACCTTTACGTCAGCTCTTTCTCAGCTCCAAACTGTAGATATATCCATTCTGAACCCCTAGTTGACCGAGTTATACACGTAGTTGTCGGTTATAAACCTAAACAATCATAAACCTAGTTATCCATGATATCCAATGCTTAGATGGGCCCTGAAGTTAGTTAACTAGCTAATGGATTGTCATTGCGATTTTTGTGGTTTATAAGTTATAAGCCAGTTACTAATCAGGAATCGCGTTTTTCCCATGGCCAACTAAGCATAGACTTAGTCACTTTAGTCAATTTCGTTGGAATATCAACTAACCATATAACAAATTTTAACATGTTTTTTGGCAATATCAACTAACCATCACAAATTATATATATCCTTATCATACCTTATCCAACTAGCAACCAGCTCCAGGCCTCGAGTGCAGGACTTGCTGGGATGACGAAATGGATCTGGCTGGGTAGATAAACCAATAGTAAGGCAGTAAGCCGTAGTATGTAATGACTATTATTTTATGGCTACCATTATAAAACAACTGAGTACCAACCAATAACTCAACTGATTGGTATAATAACTCAATTAGTTGATATTGCCCAATTAATATATGGTCATTGAACTAACCATAGTATATATTATCCATAGTTATATTCAACTATATAACAATAGTATAATCAATAATGATTATTACATAGTATCAACTGATTGGTATTACTATTATGGGGTGGTTACTCTTGATGTTCACTATTGCTATTATTATTGGTAAGACAATTAACACATAGTAACCAATAGTAAGAATACGTAACCAATGTAGTATATAACTCCTACTATGGGTTAATAGATAAACTAATAGTAAGCCATAGCTACACTCCACTACACTCCACTACATTACACTACATTACACTACACTACATTACACTGAATGACACTGCACCAAAGATAGACAGGTAGACAGCTAGACAGATAGATAGATAGATAGATAGATAGATAGATAGACAGGTAGACAAGAGTGAGAGAGATCAATCGCCTTTCAGTCCAGCAGTGGCTTCGCTCTGCCATCTCTGATTCACAACAACCAATCTCTCCTATAGGTTTCCTATTTTTGAAACTTCCGCCACCGCCTTGTGCGGTACTACTGGTGTACATATATATATATATATATATGTTAGATTTATATTTGCAAACGTGCGAAGTCAAAATCTTCCCTCAGGTGAGTGCGTCCTTCGAGGAATCGCATGGTGATACCATGGGTGTCATCGCAGAGTTGGCGGCGGATCCGGCAACCAGGCGAAGACGCGAAGGGGGCAGTGGCAGGGGAGGGAGTGGGGTTGACTCTGTCCATGAAATCGGCAGGTCAACCCTTTTGGTCCTTGGCACGGTCATCCTTCTTTATCTACGTCGGAAGCGGTTGGAGCCCGTTAAGGAGCCCGTTAACCCCGCCGTCCCGATCAACAATGATCGTCCGGCGATCATGGACAGCTCCGAGCCCCTCGCACCAATTGTTTTAGGGGGCAATTTTTTTCCGAATGCGTAGCAAGGGTTCCCGTTTCACTCTGGGGGTCTGGGGGTTGAGGGTGTGTTCGCTCGACGTTGCTTTGGCGTTCGCAACCGTCCGCAACCGTTCGCAGTAGGTCCATATGGCCGTGCCTATGGGAAGTTCTGCAAAGGTGGTCCGTTTTGGACGTTTCCAACGTGTCGTTGCTTCGTTTCGCGTGGCAGGCGTGGCACTTTGTGACATTCAGACTTGTTTTGCAACGTGTCGAAAGTCGTTTTGCGTGGCAGGCGCAATACTTTTGCGACGTTTTTACGAGATATGTTGCATTTTTCGTGGCAGCACTTTGGACGTGTCCATCGTCATTTTTCGTGGCAGGCGCAGCGCTTTAGACGTGTCGTGTTGAATGTTTTTCGCAAATCGCATTGGCAGGGCTGCGTCAAGTGGCGACAAGGTGCAAATTCCGTGGCAGGCGTGGCATTTTCTGACATGTGCTGAAAATTGACGGAAGCCTCGCACGAAACATCGATTTTGAGGTTGCAAGATTTCCAGGTTCCTAGGAAAACTCGTAGGAAAACGTCGTTTTTGAAGCTACAAAGTGTGAAAATTCGAGGGAGTCTCGCACGAAATGCTCGTTTTGGTGCTCCCACATGTCTCGTCTCGAGTCTCTGGTTTCCCTGTGGCCTCGCCGTGTCTATGGGGGAAGCTGGAAAACATGTTCTTGCGGCATGTTTCAAACTATGAAAATTGGAGGAAATTTCGTACGAAATTCTCGTTTTTCTGCATCCACGTGTCTTGTCTCGAGTCTCTGGTTTTCCTGTGGCTTCGCCGTGTCTATGGGGGAAGCCGCAAAACCTCTCCTTTTCGAAGGTTCCAAGCAGCTTGTCATGTCGTTTTGCGTGGCAGGCGTGGCACTTTGTGACATTCCAACGTGTTTGATAACGTGTCGAAAATGTCAAAATTGGAGGAAGTCTCGTACGAAATGCTCGCTTTTCTGCATCCACGTGTCTCGTCTCGAGTCGTTGGATTTCCTGTGGCGTCGCCGTGTCTATGGGGGAAGCCGCAAAACCTCTCCTTTTCGAAGGTTTCCAAGCAGCTTGTCATGTCGTTTTGCGTGGCAGGCGTGGCACTTTGTGACATTCCAACGTGTTTGATAACGTGTCGAAAATGTCAAAATTGGAGGAAGTCTCGTGCGAAATGCTCGTTTTTCTGCATCCACGTGTCTCGTCTCGAGTCGTTGGATTTCCTGTGGCGTCGCCGTGTCTATGGGGGAAGCCGCAAAACCTCTCCTTTTCGAAGGTTTCCAAGCAGCTTGTCATGTCGTTTTGCGTGGCAGGCGTGGCACTTTGCGACATTCCAACGTGTTTGATAACGTGTCGAAAATGTCAAAATTGGAGGAAGTCTCGTACGAAATGCTCGTTTTTCTGCATCCACGTGTCTCGTCTCGAGTCGTTGGATTTCCTGTGGCGTCGCCGTGTCTATGGGGAAAGCTCCGCACTCCTCACTCCACACTTTACACTCCACACTCCTCACTTTACACTCCACACTCCACACCCTACACTCCACACTCCACACTCTACACTACACTCTACACTCCACACTTTTTACATTTTACACTCCACACTCTACACTCCACAAACTACACTTTCCACTCCACACTCCACACTCCACACTCTACACTTTACCCTCCACACTCCACACTTTACACTTTACACTTTGCACTCCACACTCCACACTTTACACTCCACATTCCTCACTTTACACTCCACACTCCACACTCCACACTTTACACTCCACACTCCACACTCTACACTTTACACTTTATTAAACTCCTCACTCCTCCCTCCACACTCTACACTCCACATCCCCCACTCACACTCCACACTCTACACTTTCCACTCCACACTCCACACTCTACACGTTGCACTCCACACTCCGCACTCTACACTCCACACTTTACACTTTACACTCCACACCTCACACTCTACACTGTACACTCCACACTCCTCACTTTACACTCCTCACTCCACACTCCACACTATACACTCCACACTTTACATTCCACACTCCACACTCCTCACTGTACACTCCACACTTTACAGTTTACACTTTACACTCCTCACTCCACACTCCACACTCGACACTTTACACTCCACACTCCTCACTTTACACTCCACACTCCACACTTTACACTCCTCACTCCACACTCCACACTGTACACTCCTCACTTTACACTCCACACTCCACACTCCTCACTGTACACTCCACGCTTTACACTTTACACTTTACACTCGTCACTCCACACTCCACACTCGACACTTTACACTCCACACTCCTCACTTTACACTCCACACTCCACACTTTACACTCCACACTCCACACTCAGCGCTCTACACTTTACACTTTAAACTCCTCACTCCTCACTCCACACTCTACACTCTACACTCCACACTCCTCACTTTACACTCCACACTCCACACTCCACACCCCTCACTCCACACTCCACACTCTACACTTTCCACTCCACACTCCACACTCCACACTCTACACTTTACACTCCACACTCCGCACTTTACACTTTACACTCCTCACTCCACACTCGACACTCTACACTTTACACTCCACACTCTACACTTTACACTCTACACTTCACACTTTACATTTTACATTCTACATTCTACACTCGGCACTCTACACTTTCCACTCCACACTCCACACTCCGCACTCCACACTCCACACTTTACACTCCACACTCTACACTTTACACTTTACACTCCTCACTCCACACTTTACACTCCACACTCGTCACTTTACACTCCACACTCCACACTCCACACTTTGCACTTTACACTCCTCACTCCACACTCCACACTCCACACGCTACACTCCACACTCCACACTCTACACTTTACACTCCACACTGCAGACTGGTAACAGGGGAAATATGCACAAGACAGTTCAAATAAACTATTGCAGAAAAGTGTTGTGCGTGACTGCATATCCATGTGTTTTGACATCTGTACCATTAACATACGTGTGAGCATTCGGGTTCGTGAGCTTCATCTTGTTTTTAGGATTTTTTCTTGTTTCTTTTTTGGGATTTTTTCTTGTTTTTTGGGTGTCCTTCTCGTTTGTTGTTTTTGAAGCCTTCTCGAGCCGAGGCCGAGACGTTTTTCCCAACAAGGAAAGAAGCGGACAATGGAGATGAAGGAAGAGCGACAAAAAAGACAGGTAGTTTTTTCCAATCCCAACTTCTAGAAAGATCCGGGTTTGGTTTTGAGCCGGGCTGTGTACAGTGGCCTTTTTACTCTATGTGGTTTTGAGGAAGGGCTACCCAGCTAGCGAATCCTGTTTAGATTAAGATTCAAACACTGAATCGAGTCCACTGATCATAGGATCAGGCAATCTTATCTTTGGTGATGTTCAGCATTCGATTGTTCCATAGCTTGACTGGTTTTTTTGACTAGTCATGCGTTCGAAATTATGGGATGGTTACTATTGGTGTATCTATTACTAATATGGGTTATTATAGTTCATCAATGTTCTGTTACACCTATTGTTATGGCATACGATTATATAATAGTGTGTCATGACTATTGCATATTACCAATAGGATACTATAACCCATAGCAAGCCATAGTATTGGTTTAAGCAACATCTTACATGTTAACCCATATAAGTGATATTAACCCATATTACTATTGTTACATATTAGTAATATATATATATATATATTTATAACATTGGTTACTATTATCAATATTGGTGAACCATCCATAGGAAGCCATTTACTTATGGGATGGTCATCATATTGACTCATATTATAATTATGAGGCCAATGGGTATCATGACTATGGGGCGGTTATTTTCATATACAACATAATTGTATATTATCAAAATGAATGGTATGTTAGTATGTTAATGGCATGTGCATTGGGTTTTGATAGCAGTAGCGTACTATAGTGTACTGGTACATGGTATTGATGGAAAATATAAACAATCATAGTGAATATTCGAAGGAAGTTTAGAAGTCAAACTTCCGACACTATGGACAGATGAAAAGCAGAGATGGGAAGAGGCAGAGAGAAGAGAAGAGCAGAAGAGAGAAGATGATAGAAGAGAAAGAGTCAGAAGAAAGAAGATGCAGATGCCCGAAAAGGTAGGAAAGTCGCGAAACACTGTGTTTTTCCAATGATTTGTGGCTCCGGAGGGTCGAAAAGTAGGCTCGCTAAAGTGGCGGGTGCGGAGCCATCTGGCCAGATGAGAGATGAAAAAGTGCACGCCGTTGTGGCGCGAAGCACATTTCGAAGTCAAATTGTACAAAGCACACCATTGTCGGACCACTTTTGGAAGTTGAGATGTCGAAAAAGTGCACGCCGTTGTGGCGCGAAGCACATTTCGAAGTCAAAATGTTAAAAACACCAGGGCTTCGGACCACTTTTGGAGGTTCAGATGTGGCAGGCGCAAGGGATTGTGCAACCACCACTACACCACACTACACTACAACTACAACTACAACTGCACCTGCACCTTCACTACATTACACTACACTACACTACCTTCCACTACACTACATTACACTACACTCCACTACACTACACTACATTACGCTACACTACACTACCTTCCAATACACTACATTACACTACACTACACTCTACTACACTACAACTACAACTACACAACTACACTCCACTACACTCCACTACACTCCAGTACACTCCATTACACTCCACTTCACTCCACTACACTAAATTACACTATACTACACTACAGTACATTACACTACACTACATCCCACTACACTCCGCTACACTACACTACATTACACTACACTACACTACATGAATGATGGGATTGGGATTGGGAGAACCTATCCCCAAATGGCCCAAAATCGGAATAATAGCTGCCCCACAAACAGTAGACGCTGATTGGCCTTTAAGCGTGGTGATTTTCCATAGCACAGTGTTAGTTCTTACCAGAGGGTTTCCCAATTTTTAGATGCTCCCTGGTAATTTAACATATGGAGAATAACATAAAAATAACCCATTGATAGATTTATGAATAGAAAAAAAGGATATTCCATCATAGCAACATAACCAATGTTTAGAGGCTAGGCTAACGTATGGAAAAACAATAGTTTTCATGACATGGTTAATGAGGTATATTGCATTAACCATAAGTATCCATTAACCTCGTTTTCCATGAACTATAATAGGATTTAATATGAGCTACCCATGCAAAAAAGGTATTCCAGCTGCAGGATCTATGGTGATGCCTTCCCAAGAGACAGGGCGTATTAAGGCAGGGCGGGCAGCTGAAGGGCGCACGGTACTTGCAACTTTGGGTTGACTGGGTCAAGTTTGATTATATACTTTAACCCTTTAATGGTAAAAAGTACCAACCAACTAAAAATATAGGTTTTTTTGCAGGCATCAAAGATTCGCCATGTTAATTATATCGGGGATTAATATATGGGAGTTTACATTTTTTACCATCAAACTCACCAAACCCATGACTCTTTATGGTTTTTAACCATCACAGATTTGGATGTCGGATATAAGGTGATACTACTCTTTTGACATTGAGGGAGGATCAAATCATACTCCATGAGCTGGGAACTTCCTAGCAATCACATGGAGATGCAGTATAAAACTAAACCGTTTACACCGACAATACCTATATCAATACCTGTAAGTGGATGTAAATAAGTCAATACCTATCAACCACAATATTGTCGGAAAATGAGTGGTTTATTGACTTATCAACTGGCTTGTGTGGAAATAAGTCAATACCTATATCAGCATCGGACTGGAACATTCACAACCATTATCACAAGCTATGCAGATGTGAACAGAAGGGTACAAGAGATCTGATCCATATTCATGCAACAACATGTAACCAATGAATGATTCGTAAACCAACTGCTTCAAGTCTGCATCAACATTAACGAAAGAAAACACATGTAAGTTGATATACCCTCCGGTAGTCAAACATGGCTAGCTGGAAAATCCGCCATTCATAGACTCCTCCATTGATAGGGGATCCCCATTGCCATGTTTCATTACTGGAGGGTAAATAAATGGGAAACCAAGAGGTGAATGGTACGCAAAATGAATGAATGGTTGGTGAACAAGAGAGACATGGGAACAACCTGGGGCCATTGACTAGTTCATGAAATAGGAACACTACCATAGGGATATAGATCATGATAGAACATACAACATGATAGAACATCACATTTATATATATATATATATATTTATTTAGTTGATCTTAGTTATAAACCAACTTACCTATCATGAATCACATGGAACCTACATATTGGTTGGTGAAATCCTGATTTTTGCTGATTAATCTTCCATGAACCTAGTTAACTTGTCGTTTGGGGTTCCCTTTTTGGCATTGGACTGTCAAGCTTACATATATTTGTATATGGAGGTTTTCTAAAATCGGGGTACCCCCCTAAATCATCAAAATTTAGACCGCTTTAGTATTGAAACCATGTTGAAACCTATGGTTGTGGTGATCCCCCATTTTAAGAAACACCCACTGGTTGGTGGTTTGGAACATGTTTTTATTTTCAATAATATATGGGATAATCCTTCCCATTGACTAATATTTTTCAAGATGGTTAAAACCACCAACCAGATATATAAATTATCATAAATCAATTGATTATCTCTAATGGCTGCTACTTGGATCATCCTCCCAGTCACTGGCTAGCAACTAAAGTTGAAAACCCGGTAGTTTTCTGGGATATTCTGATAAACAGTTCCAAGGACGGGATGGTCTTTCACGCGGCCACTGTTTCAATCTCGGAGTTGTACTGGGTCAAGCCACACATATATAAGCTCAAAGATGTCCAAAAACTCATCATTCCCTAACCTTTCCCACATCTGATGCCGTACCAAAATATACACAAAGAAGCTACCCTCCGGTAAACATACAAAAAGCTATTGAATTAAAATGGCCATAGAAATAGATGGTTTACCCATCAAAAATTGTGATTTTCCATCGTTTTTTGATGTTTTTTGTATGTTTACCAGAGGCTAACTGACGTTTCCCAAAGTCCGGGTGGATCTTTTAGGTCACCGCAACGTGGCCGCCAGGGCCAGTTGGGCACGGGGCCCAACAAGGCGGAACGCGCGCGGGAGCGGGAGGCGATCCTGAAGCAATTGGAGGCGGGCGGGGCGTTTGGTCCAGGAATGGGCTGGTGAAAACGGCTGAAAAAAATGGGGAAGCTGTACGAAAAAAACTGGTTGGTGGTTTGGAACATGAATTTGATTTTCCCCAATAGTTGGGATATTGGGATGATGATCCAATCTGACTAATATTTTTCAGGGGAATTGAAACCACCGACCAGAAAAGGTGGTTTTATAGTTTTATATGTGATATTTAGTGATATATATATATATACAATGATATATACAATATGGGACCCCCTCAGTTATGTTTGTTGGTTTATAAACCCCATGAATACTATAGATATATTTACCATAAACCATACTTAGCCTAGGCAAATAAAGCAACTTAGCTATCGTTCGGGGGCACCACATTATATGGAAAAAAATGATTTCATGCTGATTGAATGATCTTGTTAGCCAAGAAGATAGGGGATCCAAAGGTGATTTGAAAGGTGGCTGGAAAATCCTGACAAGTGGAGGCTTTATATAATGAGAAACTCATCGAACTAAATGGTAGTTTTAATTCAATGATTGGTTCAAAGAAGTGGTGAAGAAACAAGTTTTGTTAGAAGATGTTTGAGCCTACGGGTTGAAAACCGTCCGAGCGTTTTAGGCATTTTTGTATATGTTCCTTGGGGTGGGGTGGGGTGGGGCAATAACGTTCACGTACTTGCGCACTCCCATGATGTTACGCCACGGCACGTTCACTTGCACGTGCGCACATACGTCATGGTACGTTGAAGATGTGTCACGTCACGCAGGGGTGGGGTGGGGTGCATGGGGTGGGGTGGGGCAATAACGTTCAGGTACTTGCGCACTCCCATGATGTTACGCCACGGCACGTTCACTTGCACGTGCGCACATACGTCATGCCAGCGTTCCCGATCAGTTGACATCTTGCCCAGAAAACCAACAAAAAATGAATGACCTCATTTGGATGTACGTTCGCACATGGCAGTGGCGATGGGGGGCAAATGTAGTTGGAAAAGCCCTGTTGGAGAAAACAGGTGCGTACTTAGCGAAGATGTAGAGATCACCGGAAAAAATGGCTGCCGCTGAGGTTTTGGGCACGCTGACTTCCCAAAAGGAACCTTTTTCGCACTCCGACATGTCAACTATATACAGTAAATCCCAATGAAAATTCAAAATCACAATAGAATTGACCTTCATGAACAACATAAAAACATGGAAAAAACACTGCGAAACGCATGATTGACTTCTTGCCAGTCACATGAAAATGATGTTTTTACTCGGCCCATTTCCAACCCGGCGGGATGTTTGACGTGGTATCTCATGGTATATTTAATCAGAAACCATGGTGAAATGTAGGGACTGAAATCACATATGATTGAGACCATACAACAGGGGGTGTTTAACATAATTAAATATAAAGGGAATGGGATATCATAATTTTCATATCATATTATAATGATGGGACATAATTGTAGTATTACTCATATCCAATAATACAAGGGGGAACATCCCAGAATATATGATTATGGCCCATGGGATCTCTCCTGGGATATTCCATCAACAGCAGCTATTTTGGAGCCAGCAAGGTACCAGGGCTTTGATCCACGGGTCATGTAACATGTATATCACATGGAATATACCCTCAGGTAATCTAACGTGGCAATGAGAAATCCATTTGAAATCAAAGTTTAATGGAAAACAAAAAACATCTACTATAAATGGTGGATTCAACTATCATTCACCATTTACCTTATGTCGGAGAATTGACAATGGGGGATGCCTAAATGATACTTGCTAACACAGATGGACAACATATTACTATATTAGCTGACGATATATCACCATCCTCCCAACCAACATAGGCAAAATAGGGGTTTGAAAGACGACTTCCTCCAAAAAAAGAATGTTATTTTGAGTCTACGTTAGTTTGGGGGATGGTCTGTATCCCTCAAAATCTCCAATTCTGTGAGTTCATGGGCACCTCTTGGGGTACGTGCCAGGAAGACCGAATGCGTTATGAGGAGCAGGGTTCATAGGTGGAAGGTGTCAGCTGGAGCCATTTGGAGACCAAAAACCACCTTAGAAACATATCCAAACCTTCCAACATTGACTAGTTTTTTTAATAGTTTTTTTTGGAAGATTAGGGTTCCAATCATATAAAAACAATGTTGTATGCTTTCAATTGAACCGTAGATGGTCACAAATGATATGTGTTTTTTTTTTATTTGTTCCGGGGGTTGTATGGTTGGAACAGCAGCTGGTTAAACCATCAAACAACGAGGACGCGTTCGTGTTTTGCGAGCTGTGCTGGTGCTGGTTTGTGCTGGTGGAAAGTAAAATTCCTATATAGGATTTGTGGCTTGCACAGTTGTTGTACATACCCATAGGATCCATGTATGGTATATATACTAACATTTGAGGGATATTGTTGGTAAATGTTACCATATATAGCATACATGGATCCTATGGGATATAGTACATATAGTACATATAGAACAGCAGAGAAACCATTGATTAGTACATATAGCCGAAAATTACTTTACCAATTACCAACACCAATGATGTTTGATCCCCAATTGCGCAATGTTGACATGGTTTCCTTGAAATAAAACCTTACATCTCATGGATCCCAGAGATTGTTGGCTTTATGGCTTTATTCACCTTTTTTTTGTTCATCCCAAATTTGGCGGGTGTAAACCTATATATCTTGAAATATGTTGATATGCTCTTATATAATTACATCAGTTTGTCTAAAAATCGGGTACCAGTAAAATTTATTGTTGAATCACGGTTTTGGAACATATCCTATTGTCAGACACACCCACATATTCCTTACACCTCTGGGGAATTTCTCTCAGGAGAGACATGTTGCAGCCAGCGCGGTTCAAAACGAAGCAGCCAAGGTAGCGAGAGGGAAAGCTGGGCAACTGTGACAGCGTGTTTATCAATCTTGGGAGATGATTGTGGATTCTATGAATGGGAGGATTTCTATCCATGCTATCCATGCTTTTTGAAGGAGGATTTAGTAATCCTTTGTAAATAGATAGTAATCCTCACATTATTATTATTATCAATCTTGTTTGATTATGGATAACTGGTTGGTGGTTTCAAACATTTGTTCTTTTCCATTTCATATATGGGTTGTCATCCTTCCCATTGACCAATTTATATGTTTCAGAGGGGTGGCGAAAAACCACCAGCCAGATAATTGTGGGATGATGACAATGAGATGATCGGAGAATCATGGAGACTGAATGAAAATGTATACTGATAATCCTGGGGCTTAATGTGATTTTATGGTGATTTAATTGGATTTTATGGTGGTTTACTGGGATCTAATGGGATTTACCATCCGGTAAACTAACATAACTATGGAAAGATCCATCATTTTGTTATGGGTAAATCCACTATAAATTGCCATTTTCAATAGCTATGTTAAATTACCAGACTGTACAAAAAGGATAATCATGAATCATGGAGAATCATGGATCATAATAATGGAAAATAATGGATATAGATAATGGATACAATCTCATGGATGATCATGGATATGCTGTAAAGGGTGATAATGCAATATTATATATATAATATGGAGAATGATTGAACATAGTGCGTTTTTTGTCCAACAAAACTAGTTGTGCTATATATCTTGTACTTCTTGGGATGCAATCGATAGAATGAATATATTTTATGGGGACTACTAACTATCAACCTAACTAGAAGTTGATGGACACTTTTCTTAAGTTTGCCTAGGTTATCTTAGGGTGTATGGCAGGTATATAGTATACTCATGTTTTTACATCATTTCAAAAACCCGGGGTGTAGGCCACTTTGTAAGACCAACAAAGTGTGATGAAATCATGTGAATTGACCATCAGACATGGAGGCAAAAAAAACAGCTGGTGATGAGTAGTTGAAGGTTTTGTTTGTATGTATATATATATATATACGTATATATATATATATATATAAATATATTCATGTAAGCATGTATTTGTTGTTTCTAACCATTTTTTTGCAGGGTCTCTAGGATTGGCCATTTTACGATCATCCGGGTGACTGGGTGGGTAAAACCCATGTATTTTTCTTTCAACACACTCTATCCACCCAAAACATGATGGTTTAAAATTGCCCTAAGTTGTTCGACAAGGTTGAATGGGATGCCATGATGCGCTTGACGGAGGAAGCCGAGCAGAAGTTCGCAGCCCCTGTCCGGGCGCGGTCACAATGCGGCTTCCAGCTCGCTTGTCGTCACGTGCCTAAAACAAAAAGGAACCAGCCGCGTCTTGACCTAGACACGGGCAGGGAGCTTCGGAATGACAAGGCAAAGTTCTATCGGGCCATTGGAGCCAAGCTCTTCTTGGTCCAGAAGGGCTGGATCAAGCTGCTCCTCAAAGCAAGTTTGGCTTTCAACAGGGATGACTATTACGACCGAATGGTCGGATCCATGAGAGCCGCCGGAGCTCTGGAATTACAGTCTCCTGCATTCGGTGGCTCCGCGCCTTGGGGCGAAGCTATGTTTGTCATATGAATGGGAGGATTACTATCCATTCTCAAAGGCTTTTTTTGTGCTCACCAGCTACCGTGATTTTGATCCGCCAACGTAACATGAGAACGTGTAGTAACAATGTAGTAGCGTAGTAATCAGCAATTGGCCCCAATCCCCACTTTCACTCACAAAATCCAAACGCAATCGATATATCAACTGGGATTTGACATAAGGATGTGATATTTCGCAATATTTGGCATTATTTGGCCATGATTTCCTATTGATTTCCTCGTTGATTTCCTCGCGTTGCGCAGACATCTTCGTCCTCATCCGCACAGGCGCCGGCGCATGGGTGGAGCCTGGTGGATCATCTCAGCGTATGTGCTTAGCAAACGGATTCTAATATACCATTTGATCCATCTGGTTACCCTCTTGGTAAACATACAAAAAGCTATTGAAAATTGCCATTTATAGTGGATAAAACCCCATTAAAAATGGAGATTTTCCATAGCTATGTTAAATTACCAGAGGGTATCTAACATATCTATGGAAAATCCATTATAAATGGAGGTTGATGTCGCTGGAAAATCATATGTAAATGGGCAATTTTCCACTTCGCTATGTTAAATAACCAAAGGGTACCCTGAATGTAAAAATTGGAAAACCATGGAAAAGCCACGTTTAAAAAGGGAACGTACTAACCACAAGAACTTAAGAAACTTATTAATTTAGGGATGATCCTCTACCACCCTCTAGCCACAGATATCTAACCCTAAGAACATTGAATCGAACCATGGAGTCATAACTGTCATGGTTCATCGACTTTTATCGGATCTTGTTTTGCTGCGAAGCACCTGAATTCAGCCTGAATTCAGGCTAAACATGGATATCCCAATCTAAGGACTCGCCAACATACCCATAGGATCCATGGTGCTGGTATATATGCTAACATTTGGGGTACATTGATGGTAAATGTTACCATATATATATATATATAGCATACATGGATCCTATGGGATATTGTTAAGGACTTGTTCAGCAACTTCATATGGTTTGATGATGTTTGATGGTGGTTGATTTTGAAACTGAACAAGGCTTCAGAACTTTCAGAGTGTCAACCCATACACTGGATTCGGGTCAACCAGCGTGCGGACATTTCTGATAGATCCGATAGGTACAGATTCGCAAGCAACTTGTACAGGTATGGCCCTTAACAGTTTGAAATGGAGTTATAACTCCTATAATTAAGGTTATATATAACTACAAGCCCATTTATAGCTGTTAAGGGCCATAACTGTACGTGGTATCTTTCAAACATCCACGTATTCCACGTACACCGGAGACCGCAAATTGCATAACGCCCCTGCTTTCGGTGACATTCCAATGTTCGTGTTACAGCCTCAATCGTGTTTAAAAGCATCAAATTCGCAATTACAAGATGGTTAAGCCAGGTTAAACCATGTCAAACCCGTATCTTTGCTGTTCTAATTCGATCCCTTTCTTTTCTTGTTGGTCGTGAAAGAACCAGCAGGTTCGCTTGCAGATTCGATGTGCCAGCAGTGGCAGAGCAGTGGGAGTCTCACATGGTCCCGGAGGTTTCACAGTTGTGGCCCTTAACAGCTTTAAATGGAGTTATAATTCCTATAACTAAGGTTATTTTTAAATTTTTAAATACAAGCACATTTATAACATTTATAACTGTTAGTTGGGCCATAACTGCAGTTGGTGGTTTGGAACATTTTTGATTTTCCATACTATATGGAATAATCCTTCCCATTGACTAATATTTTTCAGAGGGGTTGAAACCACCAATGGCCATTTTAGGAGCCGATTCATTGGACGTACCTACCATATATATATCGCCTATGTAAGGGCTATGTAAGGAGGTGTACCCTCAGAATATGGCCTTATATGGTACAGCACCTCCAATTTAGGATCCTGGAATTCCCACTGAGAATACTTGTGCCCCAGAAAGTAAATCTCTATCAATCTGGGCGATAGTTGGCGAGGTCTAAAGTCCTTCGTCAAACAATTCTGTCTGAGAGAATCGCACTCATATTTTTCCACTACAGTTATGGCAGTCACTTAACAGCTACAAATGGAATGAAATAATTCCTATAACCAAGGTGAAATAGATCATGAAATAAAGCCATAAACCTGCTTGTTGAACGTGGCCATAACTGCACGATGTCACCAGTCATTTGTTGTAGAAATTCCTGGCTAAATCTAGATGATTGAACGGAGAAGTATGGTTAAATGGTGAAGATGTTTCAAATCTACAGGCCATGTCTTTCATTTTAGTGAAGATGTTTAAATCTACAATCATCCTGAAGTAGATAGAATATGGCAAACGTGATTTCCATCTTTCCGAACATGAGATGATATTTGTTTAAAGTTACCATTCTCGAATGTTATTACCATTGATGTAGTGATGAGTTACATGGATGTAGAGATATATAGTTATATTACAAATAATCACTATATTATATTTTCACCATATAATTTAATTACCATTCATGGATTATATTATCACCATATATTTTCACCATATAATTTCATTACCATTCAATATTACCATCAGGTTTTTTTTTATTGAACTACATGGATTTGACATCACCCATGGCCACGTAGCTTCGTCGTGCCTTTTCGGATAGGCACTTACGGATGTAGAATTGCGCAAGGTGGTGCCCCAGTTCGTTAGCTAAGTTGGTGCAAATAACTCCCATAACTATGGTTTATTGCAGATATAACTATAGTTAATGGTTTTTTTTCAACCAACTTATAACTGGGGGGCACCATCCTGTGTGTATATAATAGTTTTCCCAATGAAGCCATGTGGTAGTGTACCCAATCTTCAGACATACTCATTTTTTGAAAGCAGCCACCCCAGTCAGTCAGCAACATCATTTGGACATTTCGATGGACCTCTTGAACTTGGTAATCTACGGTGGAAGAGGGCAGCTTAGGTTCTAAACATTTGGGGGATCCCCAAAAAAGCATGTTATTTGTTTTTTTGTTGTGGGAAATATTTATTGCATGAAAATACACCTTTTTCAAGAGCAGACTATGCCGAAAGTAAATCCCAATCTGTCTTGGCGATAGTTGGCGAGGTCTACGTTGAAGTCCTTAAGTCAAAGAATTCTGTCTGAGAGAATGGCAATCCTATGTTTCCGCTACAGTTGCGGCCCTTAACAGTTATAAATGGATACAAATGGTCTATCGAATCATGTCACCACGATATCTGGTTGTTGGTTTGGAGTTTGGAACATTGTTTTTGGCTTTCCACATATTGGGAATGTCATCATCCCAACTGACGGACTTATATTTTTCAGAGAGATTGAAACCACAAACCATTATCATAAATCAATTGATTATCTCTATGGTTGCTACTTGGATTATCCTCCCAGTGGGTCACTGGTTAGCAACCAAAGTTTTCAGAGGGGTAGGTATACCACCAACCAGATATCCAATTGATTGCTTGTTGCGAATATCCCTGTTGTATCCCATTCTAACCGTCGGAGGAGCTGGATCCCAACCCAACCCAGGGATCCAGCTGAATCCAGCTGACGCTGCGGGGAACTTGAATGTGGCATATAGATTGAATGTGGTTTTTCTGGGATATTTATCTGGTTGGTGGTTTCAATCATTTTTCCATAATGTATGGGATAATCCTTCCCATTGACGAACTCATATTTTTCAGGATGGTTTTTTAACCATCAACCAGTTAATGATGTTTTTTTTGTTTTGTTTCAAGGATATTAAATAAATTTAAAAGTATTTTTAATGGCCACTTCGCTGACATGATGACCTTAAGCATCAGTCCTGTCCTATTTGACCACGAGTTGTCGCCCGTTTGGATGATGTAGTTGACACAAAAAAAATATGTACTTATGCGAATATATATGTATAATGTATATCAGATCTTCAGTATAGTATAGGATATATATCTATGTATATACACAGTATATACACCTATTGATACACATATGTGTTTGTACATGGGTATGTTTGGTTCGAGGGTGTTTGCGGAGCTTGGAACAAATTAGAGAATAGCTGATGTGTGCATGTAATATCTATATACACATACACAGTTTACAATATTATACACACTTTTTCCAGGGTATCTACAGGAAGTGAAATCCTACAAATATACATATATACATATACTAATATATATATATACACAATTGAACAGTTTATTTTATCTTTTCGATTGCTACACTTAAGCACACGCTTGGATACACCCCGAAGGGAGAGGATGAAATGTGATGAAATGACATCATGTTATGTTATGTGCCATGTCATGTCGGCAAGGGTGGTTTATGGCTTAGCCACCTGGCCACCCTTTGATTCGGGGCTTTCCACGCACACCAAGCCGCTGGGGCACGATTTTGCGAACCAGAAAAATGGTCCTCAATGTGTGTGCTGTTTCCCACGGTGTTGTGTTGTGACATGGAACATGGTGCCCAAATGTCTGTGACGTTGTGTTGCTTGCTCCAGCATAAAACCAAGGGAAGTTTCACGGCGTTCAGCGCAAGTTCCGTGCAAAAGGCCGGTAACAGCAAACCACTGCATCAGAGTTTCCGGCTGCTCAGCAAGCAACCAACGACCGACAAACAAGGCTGGTAACGGCAAAGTGCTGTTTCGCTCAGTGCCGGGTTGTGATATGGAACGCGGTGCTCAAATGTCTGTGTACATGGGGGGTGTCACCAATGAGGTGTGGTGTGCTTGCTCCAACATAAAACCAACGGAAGTTTCATGGCGTTCAGTGCAGTTCCCAGTGAAGAAGGCTGATAAAAGCAAATGACACGTTGAAATCTGGGATGAAAAAATTGTAAACTGGCAAATTCTGAACATGTAATCTGGCGATTTCTGAAAGACTCTGCTTCTGGTGGAGAATTCTGATGAGCAACGTCTGGATGCTTGTGCGGAATCTGCTTCTGGCAACATGATGTTTTGGGAAATTTGAAAGTAATCTGGTATCCCCGGTGGGCGCACCACCAAGCTTCCCCGGCACTTTATCAGAGATCCGGGTGCATGAAAGACACACTTGGATACACCCCGAAGGGAGAGGATGAAATGAGATGACATGAAATAATGTCATGTTATGTTACCACTTCATGTCGGCAAGGGTGGTTTATGGCTTAGCCACCTGGCCATGTCCGAAGTTGGAAATTCGCAGGTACGTTTATATACAGCTCTCATCATTGGCCTCTTCGTTGGCCATCCGCTAATGATGAGAGGGATGGCCCCCTGCTGATACCCTTTGATTCAGGGCTTTCCGCACACACACACACACGTAAAAGCAATCTATAGGGAGGCTTCCTAGAATGGGTGTACCCCCAAATCACCGAAATTAGACCATTTTAATACTGAGATGGCGGTTTTGAGATTTGTAGGTGTTCCGACCAGATACACATGTGGTTTCCGCTGACGTGTATGGTGAATCAGCAGCAATGATTCGTTTCGAAAGAGCGAGGAGACGGCCTCCAATAAACTATCACTATAGCTATCAAAAGTCACGATTGGTATTAGGTACATGAACTTTTTTTTGGAATGAGAGTATTCAACTATGTTGAGGAAACATTTTTTGTTTGGTAAAAAACCATAAACTATGTTTTTACAATTGTTCCGAGATCATGTTTTTTGATTTTCCGAAAATTTAAACAGTTTTTTGTATGCAAGATCAGCATCCACTCCATTCCATCCTTCGTGACTATCCGCAATTGGTTTTGTTTGAAATTAGATTGGGCGCCCCCAGTTCAAACTTTTTTTTTCGGAAAAAAACGCGCGTTAAATTTGCATATATCATAGAGCCTTGTTGTATACGTTGTCATCCAGCGCTAACCATGGGCAGCACTTTGCGCCTGGATGCTGGGATGGTTAACGTGACATCTGGTTTTGCAACATCGCAAAGCATGCTCCAGATTAATTGCTGCCGGCGGTTTTGTTCATGCTCTACCAACCTCGCTGATCTCGATATGTAAACACAAACCCGAAAAATTGAATTGTTTCAAGGAACAGGGTTGCTCCGACCCATGGTAGATGGATTTTAGCTATAAGGGAGGAAATTGCCAATTTTTTCCGTCCTTGTATCTGCAGACTTTTAAGCAACCGGAAATCCCATGATTTTGGTTGGCTTGCTTACGGATTTCTTTCGCGGCTATGACTGAAAGTTTTAGCCCAGAAAATTTTGCGTCAACCAATTGCTGCGATTGCCCTTTCATGATGTAAGGGAGGTCCAGCGGTGCGGTGGCAGACGGTCATCGCAAGTCGCTGTGCAGACTTGGCGTGCTAAGAAGATCGCCAATTTTGATATTGAACATGTTTTTGGCAGCTTCGACAGTTCAAACATCTTCAAACCACGTGGTAGCCGTGGCCAAGGTGACCCTGGGCTCTTCCTTCACTCCCACCGACACCTTACTGACCGTCCGGGACTTCGCGGCGAAGGCGGCCTGGTTGGGAAAACATCTCTTGAAAAAGTTGGCAAATTGGATTCCCGTCTCAGCATGCATCATGGTGGGCAAACGGAGAAACAACTAACAACATGCCTCCATGTTGACGTTAAACATGTTTTTGCATCACTTTGTAAAAATCTAGCGTCAAACCACAACGTCTGATGGGCACGGCACGGCTGTTCCGTTTTCGCTTATCTAGGGCTGCGACACCTAAAGCATGGTTGCATGAATTTTAAAACTTGGAATCGCAGAGCTATAATTTGCGTATATGTGGGTTATGGGATGAACATGTCCCGGCTTGCTGGCGAGTTTCCTGTTGCCATTGGGGAACATCGCAGCAAACAGGCCCCAGGCATCCCTGAAATTTACAGCAGAGATGCATTCTGAAAACTGACGTGGGGATTTCCATGGATTTCTCAAAAACTAACCAAACAATCTGGTCATTTTGAGGACAAAAATTGCATTTTATTTCGTGGGGCTGTTTAAATAGTGGGATGACACGGAATTTTCTTTCACGGATGGCGTGTATTTAATTGGATTTTATTGTATCTCCCCTTCATGTAATACATTTGAGACATGTAAGGAGCGCCCAAATCTCCCCAACCCTCCCTTTCTGGGACCGCAACAGGATTAGATCCACGGAACAAATTATCCCAAACTTCTACAGCCGAGGGTTTGTAACGTTGATAAAGCTGTGCCGAAGATTCTACCGCCGGGAATTTATATAGTAGTGCCAGTAGTGTTAGATGTTTTGTTTCAACATACCACGTCGCAACACCACTGAGGCAGCTGACATATATTTTTTGATATTTTTTGCAAGTTCAATGCTTGTGCCGTGCTAATTTACTGTTTTCGTTTTCTGGCCTGGACATTTAACCGCAAAATGTCAAGCCTGTGTTTGGATGTTTTTGTTTTGTTTTGAGGTGGTGAACCAGCGGGAAAATTACAAGTGAAACACATTTTATTGCGAAATGTTGTCATCAAAAATGGGCTGCTCACGCTTGCTCACGCTTTGCTCACGTTTTGCTCACGCTTTGCTCACGCTTTGCTCACACGCTTTGCTCACGCTTTGCTCACGCTCGCCGAGGTTCCTTTTGAGTCCTTTAGGTTCCTTTTGAGTCCTTACGAGGTTCCTTTTGGGTCTTTACGAGGATCTGCTCACGATTTGCTCACGGTTTGCTTACGGTTTGCTCACGGTTTGCTCACGGTTTGCTCGCGCTGCTCACGCTTTGCTCACGTTTTGGGGCATGATGTGTCTATGTTGATGAAGACACCCATAAGCAAACCATGCCACTTTTTTGTTGTTCCGAGCCATGTGTATCTAAGGCCCACAGCTTCCAGGCTGCAGACTCCTTGAGGCTAGTTTTCAAATCTGAAAGAACCACCCACATGCCACTCACAAACCTTTGCTGAAGCGTGGTTGCCACACCCCTGCCTCAGCCTGAGATATGTATGTGCAAGGTTCCTTTTGAGCCCAAAGGACTCAGAAAGTACATCTATATTATGGTATTATGACGTGTTCCCAAAGGCCCCCAAAAATGTACCTCTATAGATGGTGTTGGCAACGTTCCTTTTAGGCCCAAAGGACCCAAAAACATGTTCCTTTTGGGACCACTTTCCACGAGATCTCATAGGACCTCAAACAGTTGTCCGTTAGACTTGCTGGGAATGTTTGTTCATCTCTTCATGTCGGAAAAATGCGACGTCAAGGGGTGCGGTCATTGAGGCAGCTATTATTTCAGATTGCCAACTTCAGGCGAATCACACTGACTGTTTCAGAGAAATGTGTGGTTGATCCTAAGTTCCATGGTGTTGCAGCAACGAGCGCAAGTATCCGCACAAGAACGCCGTTATCCCGTAAACTAAAACGTGTGTTTTTCAGCATTCACCCGTTAATGAAAAAACTGATGAAGAGGCTTGAATGCACCTGCGTCGTTTCCTGGTTACATTTTAAGGACATATATTTTACAACCGCAGGGCAGTGGTGACAATTTTGATGAAACAGGCGTGTACGCCAATGTCATGATTGAGATGGCTTGGGTTTGAGAGGGTTGGTTCGTAACATTGTATGGTGGTATTGCAAGCGCACATATTTTTCATAAATGTAAGAATAGATAATTATTACAATTATTATAATAATAATGATAATAATACATTTCATCAAACATGTTTTCGCTTTTTATTTTTGTCATACGCGTATTCTACTTGGAGGACTATCCCACTTGGTAAGCGTTTAGTAGCTTGGGATTTAAGCCGTATGTAAATGGGATAATCCACGAATTGGGGGTTTCCTAACCAGGGTTATGCCATCTACGCCCTACGCACAACGGATTATGGATGCAGGAACTGAAACTCCTTCCGGGTGAGGGCCTTGAAGGACCCGAGATGTCGCGGCTTTGGCTGCAGTAGTGCCCTCCTTAGACAGCTAAGTTGGTTTATGATTAGGTTAATTATGCTGACGATAGTTTTATATGTTATATGAAAGTCATGATAAATATACGTGTGTATACGTAAATTGTTTATAACAACATGGGTTTGGGTGGGTTTCCCCCATTGAAGAACGTGTTTCCGGAATGACCAGAGCTTTGAACATTGTGACATGTTGTCCCATTAATTTGTGTATTTGTAATTTTGGGAGTTGTTCCAATCTATTGCAGGTAAATGATTGCAACCAGGCAGGGATTTTGGGTGATTTTGTTTTAGATTTAGCATGATTTAGCCAATTTAGCCCATGGGGATTTAATTTATTTGGGAGTAAACCCACAAAAATCGGGTTGTACAGCCAACAATCGTGGGGAAATAACGGGATATCATGAGATATCATGGGAAATTAGGAGGGGGAACTTCGAATTTAACATGATTTAACCTTTAAGTATGATATGGAACCAGAAAGATTGCGTTTTAACTTAACCCATTTTAATCGGGCATGAACTTGGGGCTTCTACCAGCAACCAACGGGGTCCATTTTTGTTTTTTGGTGTTTGTGGGGGGGGGGGCCAGGCCCAAGGCCCCGACTACCTGGAAAAAATCGACCCCTTTGTTTGAGTCAACCGGTTGATTTATGTTGGTGTTTTCATTGGTCTGGACATTCGTGGTAAATTGTTCTGGTTTTTGCAATATCTGATTGCCATCGGTCGTGGTTTTTATGTAGTTTATTAGGTCGGAACCCGCGAAGGGAGAGCATGTCCAATACCCATGAACAGATTAAACAGTCATATTGCTGTGTAAATTCATATGGTTTTGTCACCAAAATCGGATTGGAAAAGAGCCTGGCACATTAGATTTGGCATCGATTTTTTGAACTGTCAGCCTGAATGGTTGCTCATCGTGCTAACCGGTTCCTCCAGATATTCGAATTGCAATGGTCTGTAAGATAGATGTGATACCCCCTGGTAAACATACAAAAAAATATGGAAAATCACCATGTCTAATGGGACATATTCACTATAAATGTTGATTTTCCATAGTTCTGTTAAATTACCAGAGGGTCTTGTAGTTGGTTTCACATGTGGGTTCCTGTTCATCTCAATGAGTTTCCGGCACCTGAATCTTCGGGCTAATTCAACCATCGGCCAGAATCCAACTTGTAAACAACGTGGATGATGCACTCTCTCCAGACTTTTCTGTTTTGTTTCTCGCAATTATGTAGGAAACCAGGATTGAAAGAGAAGTACATCGTCCCACACGTGTTTGTTTCAGCAAAACACGTGATAATGCCTGTGTATATTTGATCCAGAGTTTTTTCGGTTCGAATGACAATGTTTCCATGCATGCATGCATGCATGCATGCATGATGGTTGGAAAAAAACATAAGCAACATATGTCCTGTTAATATTTGTGCACACTGTCACTCGAGCACAGAATGAGAGATTTCTGTTCACATGTCCGGTCGAGTTTGGGCGATGCACCCTGTCGAAAGTACACGTTTTAAAATTGCACTGGGTCACAATCCAGCTATATAATTTGTATATATAATTATTTATATATATATATGTATATGTATATATATATATTATATACCTTATCATACATCATATATCTTTATACATGTGCATACATATCATATGATATCATAGATAGCATATAGAGATTTTGGTGAAGTAGTCAGTCACTACCTGGGATACACCTCCAAGTGCCACTTAAAACAACTGGGTCCCAGCATCCCCAGGGGCAACGAAACGCGTTGCACGAGGTTGGCCTTTCCTCCTCGCACGGTCTTCAATGAGATCGCCATGTTGCAGTCGTCCCTAAAAGACTTGGGGTTTGGAGCCCCGGTATATCACTGCTGGAGTTTGGAGAGGTCAAAGGCCTCAGCGCTTTTTGGGAAACTATGGAAAAATATGGGAACATGTGGGGAAATTTTGGGGAAACCATGGTTCATTGGATTGGTCAAAGGGACAATTTTAAGCGGAAACCCCTATATTTAATGGTTAAAACATGTTAAAATCATTGAAAACCATGGTTTCCTGTAGATTTTCCATTCAACCAATCCAATGAATCGTGAAACACAACGGTTGGATGGATGATTTTACCATGATTTTGCTATGAAGAGTTGGGTCGATAGAATGGTTTCACCATCCTACAGTGGGGATTTCATGAGAAATAAGTGAGTGGTTAAATTTAATGCGATAGTCAGAACAATATACAGTAGTTGTGCAGCGGCAAACATGAGAATTGGAAGCAGTTCGCAGTGGCTGCATCATTCACTTGATGACTTCTTAGCACCATAGAGGGACGGGCTGAAAACATGTGAAACTACGAAACTCTAAATTAAGCCAACAGTGATACTAGGCCTATATCCCAGCTTGGCTCGATTGAATTAACTACCAGATCAAAATATCTATATGTGCGTTCCTCGCACACATTCATATGTTCAAAGTTGGCAAGACTGTGTCTAAGTTTCTGTTGGTTGGTTTTGAATGTGTTGGTTGATTATACCTACCCATTACCAGCTCTGACTCAGTCAATGGTTGGTTGATCAATTTGGAATCACGCGGTTGTTTCCACAACCAATATATAGACGACTTTACCACCATGTCACCTGGTGACTGGAACATTTGGATTATGACTTTCCAATAAGTTGGGAATGTCATCATTCCAACTGACTCATATTTTTCAGAGGGCTTGAAACCACCAACCAGTGATGGTTTTTGTCATTTTTTATCGGTTTTAATTGTGTCCCTGAATTAGGGATTCTGTACCCTAGACCGTTGGAGGTTTTTTTTGGCGCCTTATTTTAGGAACTCCCCATAGAATCATCCACAAAGGTGAAATTCGCCCAGAGGGGTTCAATCCATTGGCCGATTCTCCGTGCAGCCGCGTGAGGCTGACTCCCAGTGCAACGCTTCTGATAAAGGCAGCAGGGGTATTGCTGCGAGTTCCATGAACAGTTGGGGGTTTTCATCTGAGATCGGGACTCGAATGTCGATCCTAAACGAGAATCGCAAATGTTTCATGGTGTTCCCTCGTCACAAATGACTGGAGAGTGCCTGTGCCAAACAATTCAGCAAGGGAAGAATCATCCCTAAAATGTGATTTGGCACAAGTTGCAAAGCACTAAAGAAACCCAAAGTCATAATAACATCATTTTTGCATCCCCAACCATGGATGGGTAGTTTAATCCTTTAGTTTTTGCTATAAATGGAACATAAATGGTTACATAAGCATATCAACAACATTTTTTTTGTGGACTCTCAAAGATTGAGCTGTTTGGCTCCCAGTTGGCCCAATACCATAAAATCTGGGGATGGGTTATACATGTCTGTACCGTTTTATACCATGTTATACCATTTTATACAGATGTATGGTGTTTTTGGGGACGGTTTACTACTATTGGATTTACCACTCTAGTTGGGTTTGCAGCTAACAGGATGGTTTGCAGCACCTCTCATGATGTTTCGCAGGGAAATCTCACCCCAACACTGATCAGCAAGGTTTTGAGCCAGCCAATTTTGACTCGCCCATTTCGGATTTCGGACCTACAGACGACTCAACACCAGTAAACCCCAGTAAATCCAGTAATTCATTTGTTGAATCACCATTAAATGATGTTTCAACACCAAATTAAATCCACTAAATCCAGTAAATACCCAAATCTGGTTCGTGGTTTGGAACATTTGAATTATTTTTCCATATATTGGGAATGTCATCATTCCAACTGACGAACTCACTCCATCATTTTTCAGAGGGGTAGGTATACCAACCACCAACCAGCTAGTGAATATCATTAATATTGGTAAATATTCCTATTGAAATATAGTGATATAATATCTATTGATCATGACAATCATAGATGTCCTATTAAATCAATATATATATATATATTGTCCTATTAAATCACCATAGATGTCCTATCATTAATCATCTATGATTGTCCTATCTAGTGATATTAAATCTATTAAATCACCATTTCGGCTGGTTGAAGAGTGGACCTCTCTTCAGAGTCTCCCAGGGGGTGTCTGCTGAAGCAGAGCCATCGGAGCGGGTTGGGGCTGTGCCAGGCGGCCGGGCGGCCGGGCGGCCGGGATGCGGCCGGCGTTTCGGATTTCGATCCCATGAAATCCGAAGTTTCGAAGTCATAGAAAGTCAATATACCATTAAACACATGTGGTAAGAATGGTACAAGGTGGTGCCCCATAGTTGGCTAAGTTGGTTAGTAACTCCAATAACTATGGTTGATGGTAGATATATCTATACTTACTATGGTTTATAAACCAACATATAACTGGGGGGACACCACATTGTAAGTAATGGAAAATAATGGTAAATAATGTGCTAAGAATGGAAAATAATGGTCAGAGTATGTTTTGAACCTGTTGTTTCCTTGGCGTTTTTTTTCTTTGTATCTTTCCTGGGATTATGATCCCAATTCGACTTTCAAACAATTTGGGGGTGTTGACACATTTGACACGATCAAACAGATTTGATGATCACAATCCTTGGTCATTCCAAACTGATATTAGCGGTATAAACCCTTATAAATATGATAGTTGTCTACCAATAATTGAAAAAAAAAATATATATACATTGCTAACCATCAAAAAGATGTTCTTACATTTTTTTGTAACCATTATAATCCTTTCCCCCTAATATTAAACACCCCCTAAACGAAACCATGGTTTAGTGGGGAATTTCCACATTCCATTGGGGCCATGCGATTGGGGTGTTTCATATTAAGCTGATGGGACTAGATACTATGAAATGTAAATACTGGAAAAGACTGGTAAATAATGGAAAATACTGGTCAATAATTCAATAATGGACAATAATTGTAAATAATGTGGCAAGAATGCTAAAGAAAGTGTGTAAAAATGGTAAACATGGTAGATATGTAACCATTACATGTTATTAAAAAAACAAAATCAACTCACCAGCCCTTCAGGCGTGGAAGCCATGCAGGAGGAGCCGCGTTGCGAAGCTCCTCCATCGGCTCCATGCCCGAGGAACCATCCCATGGTACCTTGGTGGTACGGGATGAATTGGAGGTACCTACCATATATAAGGGTTACCATCTGGTTATGACTAACAGTTTGCCATGGAAAATCACCATTTTCAATAGGTAAACCATCTATAAATGGGCCATTTTCCATGGCTATGTTACATAACCAGAGGGTATATAAGGCCTATGTAAGGGAATATCCCTAGAACATATGCCCTTATATGGTACAGTACCTCCATTTTAGGATCCTGAATTTCCTATTGATTATATAAAGATTGTGATTTTCCATAGCTATGTCAAAATAAAGGGGGGTGGTGATCTGGTGATAGCTGGGTTCAGGCCCAACTTTTCGGAATTCATCACAGATATATCATGCCAGGTTGCACTACTGTACTACTGGATGGTAAAACAAATCTAACCAACAGTGAATTTTCAGATTGACCCCGAGGCATGTCTTCTCTTTTTGGAGGGTTTCCTACGAAACATGCATACAACCTGGAGCAGAAAGCAAATGAAACTTTATACATAGTATCGATAAAGGCTTCTTGTCCTGAATATGCCTCATATACGTGCTTGGGGCATATTCCATGTACTATTCATTTCCTAGAATCACCATCCTATTATAGATCGAGCAGCTATTATAATTCCTAGTTATTGTGCTAAGATTCCTGAAACTGAAATTGAAGAATTTCGAGAGATTGAGTCAAAGCAGGTGTCCTTATATTACCCCTTTTGGGGAGCTGATCAACCACAAGGAATCCTACATTTTGCCCCCCCCCAAGATAGGTTAAGCGGCTTTGTCTCTATAAATGTATCTAAAATGACAGGAATTATAGTAGTTATGGTTGGTTGTTGTTAGTTATGATTAGTTATGGTTCATAGATCTAAAACTGGATGGTCTTATAAACCAACCAACATTCGTGGGGTGTCCCACCTCATGTCTTGTGCCACCAAGTTCGTAGTTTCAGGACCTGTTCACGTCTATCCCCATGAAATATGGGGGAGGGTGCGATATCCCATCCTTAGTTTCCACATTTCATCCTTTATATATACCCTGACCTTCCAAAGTGCCTGGGAAACGAGTACTTTTGAGCAAACTGCCTGCTTTACTCTACCTTGACTTTAAGCCAAATCACCTCATAGTTCCTATTACCCTCATGTTCCGCTTCAGCAGAGGGCTTTACGCGAGGGACTCTTCAACCACATTTTATATTACCGTAAAGGGGCGTGGCACTAGACAGCTGTGAGCGGATGGGCTGCCAGATGCATGAGGAAATCTTATAATTTTCATGCACTTGGCAGTGGCCATAAAAAAACACAGTGTTTTTTGTTGACACCACCTGATTCTCATTGAAGAGTGAAATCAATCGCTGATGCTCCCCCAAAAAATGATCATGGATGCATGGTTTGATATGGTGATTGGTAATATTTTCCAGGTGATCATTTTGAGCCTTTCCCACGTGAACCATCTAATGATACAAAGGGAATGGAGGCATGATCAATCAACCAGTTTTGAAAGTACTTTGTGAAAAAGCCTTGGGAAACGAGCACCTTGCAAAGGTGCCAGTTAAACGAGAACTGAGAAGTTCAGGGATAAATACATACATATATAAGATATAGATTCAGATATCATATATTCTTAGTTAAGATTCTAATCCCCCCGAAAAGATAAACAGAAATCATGATCATGACTGTTTTAGATTTAAATCATCCTTTTGAGGATTAGTGTAGTTATACAGTATCCCAGTCTTTTGGGGGGGGTGCAAAAAATGAGACAGGAGATACTGTTGTAAACACTTACATACATAGTCATATAGTTATTATCCCCTCTGGAGGTTTCCTGAAATGGGGGTAAATCATCCACTGTTTGGGGGGATGTTCCATTATAAACCAACCAGCCATTGGGGATCCCTACTTATGGAAACCCGCCGCATTGCCGCTACCCAGGTGTGCGTCCCCATCGAAGAAGAGATGTGGTGCGATCGTTGCTCCAAGGTCCATATTTTCAGTCGTAGAACGGCGAAGTATATCAGGGAGATCATGGGGTGAAAATGGAACATACCAGAAGTAATGGGATATACAGTACTTGGAATATAATGGAATAGCATGAATAGCATGGGATAGAACGGGAAATAATGGAATAGAATGCGATATGGAACCACTACATAATGGGACATAGTGGGGACATGATACCATATCGTAATATATTATTATACATGATAATAACTTATTAGATATTGATTTAAAATTTTCTTAACATACACTATGCAGTCTAATGGGATAACACCAAATAATATATCACCAACAAAATAATGTCATCAAGTGAAAAATACATAATATATATATATATATATTTAGTGGGATAGTCAAGCAACAACATGATGAATTTGTATATCTTCAAACTGGGGGGACCCCAATTTATGCTTATTTCAACCGGGAAAAAAGATGCTTAACCAGTGGAATTGATTGATGGTTTGGGTCGCCTATAAAAACCTGCAACCATGACCGATCAAAGATGGGGATTTGATCCAATATATCTCCGTCGAAAAAATGTATGTTCGGTGAATCTGAAAAAAAACAAAAAAATCTTAAAAGAAAACAGCGATCAAAGGAAACGAATCGCACATTTTGAACCCCTGTTTTGGTTTGTTATCTCATTGGCACCAGATTTGTAATACCCTCTGGTAATTTAACATAGCTATTGAAAATGGCCATTTATAGTGAGTTTTCCCATTAAAAATGGTGATTTTCCATATGTTAGTTTACCAGAGGGTATCCGTTCATATCTGGCCATTCCCATTCCATTTGTTCATACACTGCTGGCGACAGCTAGGCACTGCCCATCGGCAGCACGGCATGGAATTGTCGCGTTCTTAAGACGGAGCTGCACGTTGCCTGAAGAACGACTTGAGTAGCACAAAATTTTCAATTATCAAAAAGTGTAAATTAGTTTTTTGTTTCTGAAAGCATTCATTTATTCTCAGTGTTTCTGAGAATGTGAGACCCTAATAATCCACCAACTGGGCATTTCAGTGTTGTGTACCCCTTTTTTCGCAGAACATTACACATTTTTATTTTTTTGTAATTCAGGAATCGGAGGTTTGAATCCTGACCATTGAGGGTATACAATCAACAAGTTTATGGGGATATAGTTGGATGTATATATTGTGGTATAATGTATATACAGTATACAGTATACATGTATATACACAATCAACAAAAATTTGTGGATTCCTGATATCATGGGGGATACCCACAAGCGAGACCAACTGTAATTACTCAAATGAGGTTTCAAAATGGGATTTCGAGGTACCATTTCTTTGACATAAAACCTATAGAAACATGGTACTTTTATCGAACATGATTGCTTCATCAGAAAAAAAACATGGAGTTCACAAACCAAAAAACAAGGGCGATTGATCAAAGAAGTGGAATCAATATACCGTACATCAACAATGCATTCAGCTGCATAATTCAAACATCAAATGGATTCCAAGATCGAGACATCAGCCATTGGTTTTTGGACTGGTTTGTATTGCCCGCGTTGCGGTGTCTTCAAACCTTGGAAAATCCAACGGTGGCCTAGTCAAGTCATGGAGGCCTTGGAAAATCATCGTGGCCTATGGGTGGATTTTTCCAGACCTCGATTTAGGGATGGCCCATATCTTTTTTGTGCTCCAACGATCCTTGAATATCCAACCTCCGCGGCCGTTTTCTGTGTATCCGTATACGAATTTTCGGCATGCCAAAACGTATGAGGATGACCCGATGTATTTGATGATCCGCGTTGCCAAAACGTATGTTTGATGCAATCGTGATAGCATGGCAAGGTAAAAAAAGGAAAACAATATGTAGATAGGCATGCAGTGGTGTTTCCATGTGCTGATTTGTTTCTTGAGGAACATGGATTACCCTTGTCATCTTGTCGACCATGGAACATTTGCAAGAAATCACTGTTTGTTGATGGTTTCCTATTCCCTGTAGATGTTCCCTTAGATAATAGATACCAATAATACAATGACTAGTATGACTGGTTGGTGGTTTGGAACATGAATTTTATGACTTTCCATTGGGAATTTCATCATCCCAACTGACTTTCACTCCATCATTTTTCAGCGGGGCTGGTCAACCACCAACCAGACAATGATTAACCATCATTAACCATGTATACCCAGATATTAACCATATATTAACTAGATGACCCGGTCGACTTCCTGAGTTCTGCAATCTTTCTTTACGATTGCGGGCGAAAGAAAATAAGGCCATGAGTGCGACTACATCCAGTGTCAAGGCAGACGGTGGTGCCCTTTGTAGCCCATTGAGCTACCCCATTGGTAAGGATGGGATTACTGGTGATCAAGTGTTTTTTTTTTAATCATGGGAGTATCATGGGAATATAATGGGAATAAGGGATACCCTCTGGTAAACATACAAAAAATATGGAAAATCAATGAAAATCACCAATTTATAGTTGGGTAAATCAACGAACTAAATGGTGGCGTTTGGGAAGTTACCCTCTGGTTATGACTAACAGTTTGCCATGGAAAGATCCACCATGCTAAAAATAAGTAAACCATCTATTTCTATGGGCCATTTCCCATGGCTATGTTAAAAAGCAGAGGGTAGCCCATTGAACTACAGTGGATGGGCCAGCGAAATCCTGCACCAAGTTTTGGATGGTAGAAAGCCGATTTTTTTCATGGGATGTGCAAACCACCTATCAAACTGCTGCAGGATTTCGCAACCACAGTAGTTCAACATTTATTTTTTGGAACTGTATGAACTATAAATGATAAGAGTTATGTAAAAATCCTGGTTTACTAATGTTTACTAATTCAATATATTATACCACAAAGCCTTGTGAAATATCAATGAACTAAACCAATTCAATTTTGCTCACGAACTGGTGCCAGGTGCTGTGAGATGTATCTGATGCTTGATTCACCATCAGGGCAACATCATCCATAGCTTCTCATGAAAAGGAGGCGGTGCTGCACGCTCTAGATCTGATTTTGGATAGCTACGACCATGGTACGTTCTATGGTTTTTTTCTCGCATCAACCGAATGATAATTGGCAATTGTATGGAATGATCCCTGGAAATAAGCCCAATTTTGCGATTTCGTGGTTGGGATGAACCCCACTATTTCCAGGTGATTTTGGGGTTCAAGTGCCAGGGTGCCATGACCCATAGCCATATGGAAAATCTCGGATATGTGATTTAGATAATCCTGGAAGGTAGTAAATAGGTCGTAGTAATTTGATGGTCAAAGTTTACGGGTGATAAAAGATGGATTGGTCATGTTATCTTATGGGCGATAATCAAATACTACTATGAATTCAATTATTTAATTTTGTGACTATTAGTTCAAGATAGTTATATAAAATTATAGAATATATGTGTTCTTATACAACACCAAATGGACATTGGACACCTCCAGAGAGCGACATGTTTCCGTTTCACCGGTGTGCCATGGGAGCAGAACACTGTTGCTGCAAGAATGCAGCAGAAATTCATGCAGAAGTGATCAATTCTGATGTAAGACCCAGTTTTTCACAGCAATCTGAAGATGACCCTGGGCCCAGCAATGTGAATGTGGCGATGGATATTTCCTTCACTGACCAGCTGGCGCCGGTAGAGGAGGAGGAGAGTGGCCCGAGCCCGAAATCACCGACATCACCTTCAGCTTTTTCAGCTTTCCGTTGGAGAAAGATGACAGAAATGAGCCACATGGAAAGTGACTATGAAATCATGCGGGGCATTCCTTTGCATCGAGCACTTCAGCACTCTGAGCTTTGGACCTCCCCACATGAAATCCAGAGGAGGAATCGGTCGTCCGGAGTCTGGGCTCTTTCGACCAAGGTGTCAAGTTACGACATGTTCTTGTCGCATACCTGGAAGACAAAAGGCAGGTGGAAAGTTCTTGCTTTGATGATGCAAACAGGTTGGCCTCATGCATTGTTGGCTTGGGTGGTCGGGCTGACTGCCATGCTATTTTTGCGAGCTTTTGACGTTATCAGTGGCCCGTGGGCCACCAGTTCGACTTGGATTGATGGAACACCTGTCCCAGTGGTCTTGGGCCCATGGACCATCATTTCTGCAGGAGCTTTTCTGGTAGCTGGTCTGCTTCTCTCTCCTTACTTGCCGCTCAAGACGCAGGTGTGCTTTCTGGATGTGGCATGCATTCACCAGGGGCGAGATGACATGTTTGAACGTGGTTTGTACACCATTGGTGGGTGCCTTACAGCTACAAAGGAACTCCGGGTTTTGTACTCACCGGAGTACTTGTCGAGCCTTTGGTGTGTCTTCGAGCTTGTGGGATTTCGCAAAGCACATCCTGAAGGAAAACTTACAATCTCACCATTATTTGTTGAGCGGTCTGCTGCAATTTGTGCCTTCGTTATGTGGTGTACGGTGCTTGCAGTCACTGCGGGGATTGGTCTCACGGACAGCAGCTTCCGCAAAAGTTATCTTGTGGTTCTTTTTATTGCTGTTTTCCTGTTGCCGGTGATATTATTTCTACATGCTCTGCGTCACAGCTACAGAGAAAAGGGGCGGCTGATATTCGATTTGAATAGTTTTGATGTTAATACATTGGTTTGTCATTCGGACTTTGATCGGGCTTTCATATTGAGTGCCATTGATGCCTGGTACGGCAGCAGGGAAGCTTTCAAGGACTTCGTTCGAAGTGATCTTCGCGAGGAACTCTTGAGTCTGCTGCCATCTCCTCACCTTCCTTGTGCCTATGCGGCCTTGATCCTTTCCTGTCTGGTTACTTGGATCTTGGACCTTTCCGTTTGCTTGTACAAAGCTGGTGCGGACATTCGCATCCTTGCCCGTAACTTCCTGGCTTATCTGGCTTTTATTTTGTGGTCTTGGTGCGCATTCAATGGCCTCTTCTACCTGAGTGATAGAACTTCCGAATCTGGTCGCACTCGGCTTTTGGATTGGTTCAAGACACTTGGGGTGGCCGGGGTCATATTTTTATGGGAAGTGATCAGTTTTGCTGTTGTTGTAGGAGTCACCCGACAGTCTGACAGAGTGGGCTTCTTTTGCTACCTTGCTTTCTCAATGATGCTTCCGTTTTCTATTTTGGACACCTTCAAAGTTTGTCGACGACATTGCCCGAAACAGGAGGCAACTCGCCTCTGAAATTTCAACTTGTTCGCTGAGGGGCTCCTTGTGGTGATGGCTTAAGCCACATCGTTTGAAGTTGGATGGCATGACCCCAAAGAATCCTATAGACGTATAAACATGTACGTTTGAATTTAGCATCATTAATCATGATGTGCTGTGCAAATTCATACGTGCACGCTGTGGCCTTGACAAAAGAGTCAGGACGCAGCGGCGCGTTGGTCGCTGGCTGCAGCTCAATTTTTTTGCGAAGCAAAAGTGCGTGACGAAACTGCTGGAGCAGAATGCCGGCACCAATGATTTGCGCTACTTAGTGCAATGGGGGATACGAGATAACAATGAATATATGATACCCCAACACTATGGATTTCTGATGATTTCTGAGAAGTTGTGGGGCAAAATGAGAAACAATGATAAACAATGAGAAACAATAAGAAGCATGATGTCATACTGTATGTTCCAAATGCAGCCAAGGATCGACCTTTAGCTTGTACCCTAGCTGAGTTTAGAGGGTAAAATGAATATACAATGAGTGCGATAGGAATGGTTCAGACGCTGGCTCTGCTGGCTCTATCTTTGGTCCGTTGCCATTTTTTCCATAGCCATTTATCCATAGCCGTTTATCATAATTTATCCTTAGCCCTTTATGCGTAGCCCGGGATGGGCAATCCAGAGTCTTGGTGGTGACAGCTCTGCAGTTTAGTGCTAGATAAAGAATGTGCGGCATGTCAAAACCACTACGTATGCATGGACATTTGAACTATTTCTTGAATGGCTTGGCCATTTGGCTGACTCTCCCTGCAACCATAGACTTCATATAGTCACTGTTTGCAATATTGGGGTCCAAGGGTACCAGCAAATGCAGCCAAGGATCGACCTTTAGCTTATATACTAATCCTGCTAGACTCTACTTATGGCAATGGAGAATACTACATCATATCCCATCCAGTAATCCATGAATTATGATGATATATCTGATATATCCATTTAGACTCATTGATATTCCATCTCCATTGGAAAAGTTGATTCGATTCGGGGATTCGATGGGATTTCTGCCACGGCAGGTTGTGAGTGAGGCATCGAGGCTCAGTCGCTCCCGGCGACGAGGGCACGTCTGAATCTGATCATGAAAAAATCGAAGTACGTTTTTTTAAAAGCCAATGCTGAAGGGTAAATCACCAATTTTAACGGGTAAATCAACTATAAATGGTGGTGTTTGGTTTTTGGTTATGACGAACATAACCATGGAAAATCACCATGCTATTAATAGGTAAACCATCTTTTTCCATGGGCCATTTCCCACGGCTATGTTAAATAACCAGAGCGTACCCCATTGAACTACAGTGGATGGGCCAGCGAAATCTTGCACCAAGTTTTGGATGGTAGTAGAAAGCCGATTTTTTTCATGGGATATGCAAACCACCTATCAAACTGCTGCAGGATTTCGCAACCACAGTAGTTCAACATTTATTTTTCCCCACATCACTGTGTGGGGTTCTTGTTTTTTGCTTGGATCCGGCCAGGGCACCGCCTCCGCCTCCTCCGCCTCCTCCGCCGCCTCCTCACTCACTCACTCACTCACTCACTCACTCACTCAATCAATCAATCAATCAATCAACTAAACTCAACTCAACTCAACTCACCTCACCTCACCTCACCTCACCTCACCTCACTCCACTCAGTCCACTCAGTCCACTCACTCCACTCACTCCACTCACTCCACTCACTCCACTCACTCCACTCACTCCACTCACTCCACGCACTCCACGCACTCCACGCACTCCACGCACTCCACGCACTCCACGCACTCCACGCACTCCACGCACTCCACGCACTCCACTCACTCCACTCACTCCACTCACTCCACTCACTCCACTCACTCCACTCACTCCACTCACTCCACTCACTCCACCCACTCCACCCACTCCACCCACTCCACCCACTCCACCCACTCCACCCACTCCACCCACTCCACCCACTCCACCCACTCCACCCACTCCACCCACTCCACTCACTCCACTCACTCCACTCACTCCACTCACTCCACTCACTCCACTCACTCCACTCACTCCATCACTCCATCACTCCATCACTCCACTCACTCCACTCACTCCACTCACTCCACTCACTCACCCACTCACTCCACTCACTCCACTCACTCCACTCACTCCACTCACTCCACTCACTCCACTCACTCAACTCACTCCACTCACTCCACTCCACTCCACTCCACTCCACTCCACTCCACTCCACTCAACTCCACTCAACTTCAATTCACTCCACTCAACTTCAATTCACTCCACTCAACTTCAATTCACTCCACTCAACTTCAATTCACTCCACTCAACTTCAATTCACTCCACTCAACTTCAATTCACTCCACTCAACTTCAATTCACTCCACTCACTCCACTCACTCCACTCACTCCACTCACTCCACTCACTCCACTCACTCCACTCACTCCACTCACTCCACTCACTCCACTCACTCCACTCACTCCACTCACTCCACTCACTCCACTCACTCCACTCACTCCACCCACTCCACTCCCTCCACTCACTCCACTCACTCCACTCACACCACTCCACTCACTCCACTCACTCCACTCACTCCACTCACTCCACTCACTCCACTCACTCCACTCACTCCACTCACTCCACTCACTCCACTCACTCACTCAACTCACTCACTCACTCCACTCACTCCACTCACTCCCTCACACACTCACTCCACTCACTCCACTCACTCCACTCACTCTCACTCACTCCACTCACTCCACTCACTCCACTCACTCCACTCACTCCACTCACTCCACTCACTCACTCACTCTGCACTCACTCACTCACTCACTCACTCACTCACTCACGCACGCACGCACGCACGCACGTACGCATGCACGCACGCACGCATGCACGCACGCACGCACGCACGCACTCACGCTCTCACTTCCTCTACTCACTCACTCGCTCGCTCGCTCGCTGGCTCACTCACTCACTCACTCACTCACTTACTCACTCACTCTCACTGACAAACTGTCTCTTACATCCGGTGCACATGTCGTTACCTAACTACCAAAGTGACACACCAGCACATGCACATACATACATGCATACACACAAACCTCACCCACCATCACCCCTCCATCACTGTCATTCTTCCTCTTCCCTTGTTGCTTTTCTGTGCTCCATCTAAGTCTGGAGAAGTTGTTAACATGTGGGGTTATCTGGTCCTATAATTTTAAGGGTTTCTTTAGGGTTTCTTTAGGGAGTCTTCACAAGACATCAGCTCCGCCACGCCCTCTGAACAATGCGTTGCATCTTCAGCATTGCAAGACATCAGCCCCGCCACCCTTTCTCAACATTATGTTGCATCTTCAGCATCACAAGAGATCACCCCCACCACCCCCTGTGATCACTACATAGCACCTTGAGCATCCCAATTCAATTAGCCCGCAACCCCTTTGAACACTACGTTACATCTTCAATATCACAAGAGATCAACCCTGCCACCCCCTCTGAACAATACGTTGCACCTAGAGCATCACAAGAGATCAGACCCGCCACGCCCCTTTGAACGCTATGTTACGTCTTGAGCATCAGAAGACATCAGCCCCGCACCGCCCCTGTACAACAGGGCGCACCTTGGGCATCACAAGAGATCAGCCCCGCCACTCCCTTTAAACACTATGTTGCATCAGAGTCACAGGACACTGACCCTCCCACCTCTTCTGAGAAATATGTTGCATCACAAGATAGCAATTCCGCCACTCCCATTGAACGATACTTTGCACCTTGAGCATCGTAAGACATCAATCACACCCTTCATCTGAACACCGTATTGCATGTTGAGCAGCACAAGACATCAAATCCGCTTACCTCCTCTGAATAATGCGTTGCGCCTTGGGCATTGCAAGACATCACCCCCGCCACCCCCTTTGAACACTATGTTGCATCTTGAAATGTCAACCCCGCGACCCCCTCTGAACACTACATCGCCCCTTGAGAATTGCAAGGCGTCACTCCCTCTGAGCACTATGTTGCATCTGGAGTATCACCACAAGACATCAGCCCCGCGCTCCCTCTGAACAATACGTTGCACCTTGAGCATCACAAGACATCAACCCCGCCATTTCCTCTGAAGACTATGTCGCATCTTCAGCATCACGCTAGGGAGCCTGTAGCGTTTCCTTAGGGTTTTCTTTAGGGTTTTCTTTAGGGGTTTCTTCAGGGTGGTTCTTTAGGGTTTCTTCAGGGTTTCTTGCTTAAGGGGTTTCTTAAGGGCTTTCTTTAGGGTTTCTTCTTAAGGGGTTTCTTAAGTTTTTTTCCTGCAGGGTTTGTTTAAAGTTTCCTTAAGGGTTTCTTTAGGGTTTCTTCTAGGGTTTCTTTTGGGTTTCTTTCAGGGGTTCTTTAGGGTTTCTTCTAGGGTATCTTTAGGGTTTCTGTCAGGGCTTCTTTAGGGTTTCGTCAGGGTATCTTGAGGAGCTTCTTTGGGGTTTCTTTAGGATTTTTTTTGAGTTCTTTTTTAGGAGTTTCTTTAGGGTATCTTAGTGGTTTCTTGAAGGTTTCTTTAGGGAGTCTTCACAAGACATCAGCTCCGCTACGCCCTCTGAACAATGCGTCGCATCTTCAGCATTGCAAGACATCAGCCCCGCCACCCTTTCTCAACATTATGTTGCATCTCCACCCCCTGTGATCACTACATAGCACCTTGAGCATCCCGATTCAATTAGCCCCGCAACCCCTTTGAACACTACGTTACATCTTCAATATCACAAGAGATCAACCCTGCCACCCCCTCTGAACAATACGTTGCACCTAGAGCATCACAAGAGATCAGACCCGCCACGCCCCTTTGAACGCTATGTTACGTCTTGAGCATCAGAAGACATCAGCCCCGCACCGCCCCTGTACAATAGGGCGCACCTTGGGCATCACAAGAGATCAGCCCCGCCACTCGCTTTAAACACTATGTTGCATCAGAGTCACAAGACATTAACCCTGCCACCTCTTCTGAGAAATATGTTGCATCACAAGATAGCAATTCCGCCACTCCCATTGAACGATACTTTGCACCTTGAGCATCGTAAGACATCAATCACACCCTTCATCTGAACACCGTATTGCATGTTGAGCAGCACAAGACATCAAATCCGCTTACCTCCTCTGAATAATACGTTGCGCCTTGGGCATTACAAGACATCATCCCCGCCACCCCCTCTGAACACTATGTTGCATCTTCAGGGTCACAAGACAGAAGCCCTGGCACCCCCTCTGAACACTATGTTGCATCTTCAGCATGACAAGACATCAACTCCCCCACCCCCTCTGAACAATACCTTGCACCTTGAGACATCAGCCCCGCCACCCTTTTTGAACACTATGTTGCATCTTCGAAGATCAACCCAACGATCCCCTCTGAACACTACGTCGCTCCTTGAGGATTGCAAGGCATCAGCCCCGCCACCCTCTCTGAACACCATGTTACATCTTGGGCATCACAAAAGATCAACTCCGCCACCCCTTGCTTGAATGAATGAAAGAAATAAATGAATGAATGAATGAATGGATGAATGAATGAATGAATGAATAAATCAATGCCGGAAGGAAGGAAGAAAGGAAGGAAGGAAGGAAAGTAGCAGAATGGAGAAGCAAGGGAATGAAGGAATGAGGGAATGTAGATCAAATGATATTAGAGGTTTTTAGCGCATGTCTGACAGATCAAGGTGGAAGCAACGGGCAAGGCAGTAACAAACTGCAAACAAAGCCCACAAGGGGCATTTTTTGTTTCTCTCGGAGAACATCCGAAGTCGTGGAAAAATGCCGAGAGAGCTGAGCCGACAGAAAATTAAAACGATTGCTTGGACATGTTCGGAACTGCCCATAAAGTTGCTCTTATTTCTCTTGTACCAATCTAAGATTGAAAAGCCAAAGCCCAAGTGCCTGCTCCTCCACATTCATGTGCTGATGACTTCTTTTCTACCGTGATACACGGCGGGTTGATTTAAAGACAAATTAAATAAACCCTCCTTCTATATTGCGCGCGCCAACTGAAACCCAAGACTTACAGCAACTTCAGGCAGGCTTATAGCCCAATTACTCATGCACTACGCATTAAAAAGCTTGCAATCACCACATGCAAAATAAACATACCCAGCTAGCAACTTAAGAAGGAAACATCGTTCAATCCCTGCGTTCCCTGATGCCAGCAAGGCATTGCATCATGTGCTATATACATCCAGCGTGTCCAGCCGCGAAGCCACGCCGTGTGCACTCTTGCAGAAGGAAGCGTCGCAGCGCCAACAGCGTCACAGCGTCGCAGCAGCGCTCCTGTTTCGCAGTGTTGCAGCGTCGCAGCGCGAAGAGCCTCACAGCGTCGCAACAGCGTCACAGCGTCGCAGCGTCGCTCCTGTGTCGCATGCAGTGTTGCAGCGTCGCAGCGCGAACAGTGTCGCAGCGTCGGTCCCGCGTCGGTCCCGCATCGCAGCGTTGCAGTGTCAACAGCGTCGCAGCGTCGATCCCGCGTCGCAGCGTTGCAGCGCCAACAGCACATCGCAGCGCCGCTCCAGCGTCGCAGCGTCGCAGCGTCAACAGCGCTGCAGCGTCACTGGCCCAACGGCAGCGTCGCAGCGTCGCAGCGTCGCAGCGCCGCCCGCCCCCCGGTGCGTCGTAGCATCGCAGCGCCGCCCGTCGCCGGGAGTTCACAGCCCCCTTTGCCCTCCACCGTAATTTCTTGAATTGAAACAGAGCCAGAATGCTCATGGTCATTGCACAAATGCAGAATCCAAAGTCATTCCAAAGCACATTGTTTAGGCTTGCATTCAGGGGTGGAAGCCTCGAAAGGGCGACTAAGGGATGGCTTGTTCAAAAATTGGATATTTACAGGGGGAAAGCACGACAGGGATGCGGAGGGATGACATTGACTTCCCCCTGTTGCCATTTTGGCTCAAGCCACCCAGGTTTGTAGCCAAGCAAATAGGCATTTCGGGCGCACTTTTAAAGCCATGGCGGGCTTGTTCAAAGCCATGCTGGCGGTGCTGGCCCTGTGCTGCGGAGGTGAGATGAACAGAGATGACGATGGACAATGGTTTGTGCAATGCCGGGTGTATTGCATCTTACTCACTGTCCCTTTTTTTGTGCTAGCTACTTCGTGAGTTATCAATTCGTTGCATTGAATTTGAATTTTGACGTCCTTGCAATCTTTTCTGGTGTGTGTATGGGTATGGCTGCGGTTTCAAGACGTTTGTGCAGTAAAGCCGGTAAGATTGAATGGATGATGCAAAGTTGGAGCCGGATTTTCCACATCGTGAACTTGGTGAGGAAAACTGTGTGTGGGAGAAAAGTGTGGTGGCCTCTCTTGAAGATTATGGTGATTTTAACAGGTTGTGCTTGTTTTTGCTGGCTTGAGTCACCGTGGAGCTTCAAGTTCTATCAGCGCTTCGTGGCTATGTGGTCCACTGCTTGGATGCATTTGTGGGACCTTTGGGGCTCTTTTGCTGCTTTTGTATTCTTCCACGTCAAAGCCATGATTTTGCAGACTCATGCTTCGTGTGTTTCTGGACACACCGTGGATGGTTTTCAGGCAACTCCTGGATTCGAAATACCGGTGAATTGCGTTGCGCAGATGGTTGACACGGATTTCAAACCAACTTGGAATCATGGTTTGCTGTCAGCTGTGGCGATGATGTCTTATTATTTCGTGACCCTTTGGCAATTTTGCTCCACTAGGACATGCAAGCTTGTTTCATGGGGGAGCGTTTTTACAATGATGATTTCTGGTTTGGTTTTCTGCAACCGATCTCTTTGCCATGTCACGCAAAGGCCTCAGATTGCTGAGGTTGTCTCTGCAATGTCACAGTGGTGCCAGCAGTTTCAATTCACAGGTGCCGATCTTGTTTGTTTAGGCCTCAGTTTAATTTGTGTGCGATGTTTCAGACAAGCCGTCATTTGGAGTTTCCAAACCAGACATGATGCTTCTGTTGCATACATGCAGAAGCACTTTTTGCGAAATGCCGCGGTCGTATTTTGCTTGCATACTTGTTTGTCCAATCCGACCAGCCTCTCTTTCGTTTTCGCCGGGGCCTACAAGGTCCTTGTCCTGATGTGCGGAAAGAAGAGAATAGTAGGTTGTGGAATAGCACTCCTTGGCATCATGCTCATGCGAATGTTGTTTTCAATGCATCGGTTCCTCACATGGAATGCACAGAAAGCGCTGCTGTGGTTCTGTCATCTGGCATGCAAGATCATGGTCATCGCTTTCTTTTTCCGAAAGCTGTTGACTGAACCTTCTTTTGTGAATCTGCTTTTGATTGGTTTAGGGGTTGACATCATCGATTTGGTGACATTAGCTGTTTTCAGGATAATGCTGTCACTTCACCATTTGAATGCAAGGCCAAAGAAAGTCTTCAAGTGCAGAAGAGTTGGCCGAAAGCGCTGCCGATTGCATCGTAAGTGCATCCGAAAGCCAAGAGTCAGTTTGTTTAATAGGGTAGGCCGTTTCCTGTCCTTTTGCGTACGTGCGCAGTTTTGCCCATTCTGTCAAAACATGCCTGAGCATTCGCAAGCCTCCCCGCCCAGATCTTCCTTCCGCGGGGGAGGTCGTAGAAACAGTCCAGAGACACCGGAACAGAAACTGCTGCAAGGTTTGCAGATTTTGTTGAAAGATACTTTGCAGGCCTCTAGCTCCGGAGCCTCAAACAAAAAAGGCAAGGGTAAGGGCTCCGGCAAAAGTAGTGGTAAAAGCCTACCTTCCAAACAGAGAGATGCGAACCATGATGGCAGCTATGGGCTGATTCAAGCCTTGCAAAAACTAACTGCCCGAGCCGCAAAGAAACCACAAGGGTTGCTCCAAAGGTTGAAAACATTGGTTCAAGTTACTGAACGTGGTATGTTGCGACCAAACAAGAGAAAGAAAGATCTGCCGCCGCATGAGGCGGTCCCGCCAGTGAAACCAAGCACACGATTCAAAAGTTCAGAGAATTTGGTAGATGGTGCTCCTAAGCCAAAAACACGATGGCAACGCGACAGATCCTGGAAAGCCCGTGCCCAGGACTGGGGCGTCAAAACTGTTTTGCGTGGCCCCACAGCTCTGTGCAACGCTCTTGACAGTGGGGACACCGGTGCTCTCCTGTGTCAAGTACAAAATCTGGATGATTGGAATGAAGCCCTCCAAATTTCTCATGCTGCTGGTCGCACCAATGTCACGGTTGTTCTTGAAGCTGCACCTAACATGTCTCCAGAACTTGGCAAATTGAGATATCATGGTTGGACAGCCTTGAACACACGTGCAGCTGGTTATGCCGATGATAAATTGGTCCAGCGCTTGGTTTGGATTGCGCGGTGCTCGCCAAATGCACCCACATTGGTTCCAGGATCCGTGCTGACAGGCGCCAGGCGGCCTGTTGTCCAGAAACACGGCCATGAAGAGTCTTTTGTTTTTCGAATTAGTTGTGACATGCGATTTATTGCCAGTGACAATCGCCATCATATCACACAGGGACCTGGGAAATTTTTTCGTTTGTGGCTGTCTGATTTAGGCCCAAACGCTAGGGATCTTCTGCTTCACCTTGGTGACACGTGGGGATTCCAAAAACTCGAGGCTGAAAACCTGGTTCGAGGATTTGCTCGCGTCAAAGGCAAAGACAGGGCCCTGCAGTTGATTAAAGCGAGCGGCTCAGAACACAAAGGTCAGGTTTGGTTTCTTGATCCTGCCAGATGGGATGGCCTCGCAGAAACACCTCCACGCATGCTTTGGGTGGACAAACTGGAAAATGAACAACAAATTGCATTTGCTCGTCGCGTAGCTCATGATTCGGGTCCTTTTGGCATGGCTAGGGGTCGTGTACAGCTGGCTCTCAGGGTCAAACCAGACGATGAGCGGCTCAAACCCACTTCTAGTGTTTGGCGGGTTGAGACAGTTCCGTTTGGTTGGGATTTTGAAAATGTGGAAGAAACTCTGGTTGAAGCAGGTTTCTCTGAAATTGATATTTTAGCAAAGCAACGCCGTCGTGGTGGCACTGCTTGGGTTTTCAAAGGCATGAGAAATGATGACCGTGATCAAATACAAACCCATTATGATGCGGACGAGACGTGCAATGAGCCACCATTAGATCTGTTTTTAGTTAAGCAGTCCAAACGACGTGCGCCAGGAAATGTCCAGCCGTTGAAAGCAGAAAATGATGTGCTCTTTTCACTAGATGCATTTCACAAAAAAGGTAAGGGTAAAGGCAAAGGAAAAGGCAAGCACAAATCCAAGCTTGAAGTGCCTGACTTTGCAACCACGCTTGCCTTACCGAAAAGTAGTCCACCTCCATTACCCTCCAAGGATGATCGCGGTAACGAAGCTATGGATGTCAGTCTGATTAGCGTCCCAGATGCAAGTGATGTTGAGGATGAGCCCATGCATGTCCAGGGCACCAAACGCAAAGACCAGGCCATGTTGACCAGCCCGCAAAAAACTGGTCATGACAAAAAGAGGATGAAAGTGCCCGAGAGGCTTCAAAAAGTTCCGAACCCTGGGGAAGGGAATTGCTTGTTTTACTGTCTAGCTCAGGCGGAGTCTACCCCAGGTAAGTCCCGCAGCCACAGGCAGGTGCGTGCATTTGTTGTTGCCTACATGACCAAACACTTCAAGAAATACGAGGATTTCTGGGACGGTTTAAGCCCGAGCAACATTCCCATGGAGGGTGGGTTTGACGATTATTTACAAGCCCTTGAAAAAGATAAAGCTTGGGCGGGATATTGTGAAATCGAAGCATATGGCGAAGCCATGCGCCGACCTGTACTTGTTGTGCATGCCAAGGACAATGTTGTCCATGCTTTTAATAGTCATGGCGATAAGGATGTTGTCTGTCTCTGGTACAAGGATGAACATTATGAGCTTATTGTTCCTTCAGACGCAGATATTCAGGCCCTGTGGCAGAATGCTGAAGACGGTGGCACCAAGGGTTACCGCGGGGCCGCAAAGAAGGCACGCTTGGCTGCCGACAATGCCTCTATTTGCCTTTCACAATTTGCAACTCCCAAATCCAGCAGGCCAAGCCCAAGGTTGACCGATTTTGCCCAGAGCACCCCTGCCAAACGGAGTGCATGTCTGACTGATTTTGCATCAACGGCCAAACCGAGCCGTCAAAAGACCGAGCAATCAGAAGCCGAGCCATGTGGTTCCAACCCATCTGCCGCATCAGCTTCTGCGTCTGTTGCCACTGGGCGCGACCGGGAAATCACGTGGACATGTCACATTTGCAACGTCTCTTTCACTGACAAAGCATGCATCGTTTCAAAAAGACGTACGGATCACATTAGGCGTACGCATCGTGGTACCCCAACCACCAATTTTAAAAAGGCTGTTGATCAGTACAGGGCTCCGGTTACTGCCGTATCGTATGGGCCCACTCATGCTGCTGTTTCTTGGACTTGTGGTTTTTGCATGGGCACCCTCCCCATTTTGCCTAAGACACATCAGAAAGCATCAATCGTTGCTCATTTGCGCTCCTGCGCCAAGGCCCCAAAAGGGGCCACCAGAGGCGACTCCATTCTTCGCCTTTGCAAGAGAGCAAGCGTGTCATCTGATGTACCTCACAGAAGCATTTTGCCTTGGAAGCTGAAGCATCGCCAGATGTATGTGCAACTCAACAAGTTTGCCAAGGAGCAAGGACACTCCCTATCCCAAGTGCAGAGACGTACTACTGGAACGAAAAAATTGGCTGGTGGGTCGAAAAAAGTTATTTTCTTCATGGCTCAGCATGCTTGTTCCATTTGTGCTGGTTACTGGAAAACTGAGAAGTCCGTGAGAGCTGCAGGTCCTTGTGGCGGGCGGACTGCTCGTGCCGAGTGGTTAGCCATGCCTGGTCGCCAAAAATGCTGGCGTCAGGCTCCCAAAGAGCGCCAAGAGGCGCTGCACAAGGCTTGGCGTTTGAGTGCTACTGAGCGTAGGAAGCTTGATGATGCTTGGGCTAGCGCCAAGAAAAAGTCGCGCAAGAAGTGGCCGCCTAAGTCATGGAAACGCGATTTGACTGCTGAGAATATACACCCCCATCCAGGCCCAGGCCATCCTGACCACTGGATTCTCTCGTGGAATTGCCGTGGATCGTGCAATGCTTGGAGGGGCCTAAACTTGCTTCAGGATGAGGGTAATTCTGTTTTATGTCTTCAAGAGCCTGACTTCGAGCCTCGTCAAGGCTCCCAGTATGTTGAAAGGCTTCAGAAACTTGGGTACAAGTGTTGGACCATTCCGGCCAAACCTATTCGCACACTTAAACGTGAATTTTACCGAGGTGGTCTTTTGGTTGCATTGCGAGAGCATCTCAGAGGAGGCATCTGGGACACACTGGCTTGCGATGAAGGGTATGTCATGACTTTGGATCTTCAATCGTGCCTACTTTCCTCAGTTTGGCGCCGGCCAAGCCAACTTGATGGTTTGCAATTTTTGGAATATGTTGCTACGGTCACTGAAGAAGCACAACGCAGGCAGATACCTGCACTTTGGGTAGGTGATTGGAACGAAACTCCTGATGACAACGCCGCATCCATTTTCTTGAATGGCAGTGTTCTGGCTGTCACGGATCCTGATCAATGGGTGCCTAGCCGGTTCGAAGGTAAAAGATGTCTTGATTACGGAATTCTCAGCGGCGGGTACGGTTTTGCTGATTGCCCGCGTTACAGTGAATGTAAGATTTCTGATCACAAGATGTTTTGGCTTAGATTGCGCTTGCCCATTTTCCAGACTGATACGTGGAGGTTCGCTTGGCGGCCTAACTATGAATGTCCTCCGGAAGTGCCTGTTGAGCAATGGCGGGCCGTGCTTGCAGAACAATGGGCCGCTTACGTGCCATGTTTTTCTCAGGATCCCGACCAAGATTGGGAATATTTTCACCAGTTTGCTGAAAAGAGCATGCGTGAAGCATTGCACTTGTGTGGCCAGCCCGTGCCTAGGCCAGGCCATGCGCGCGGGAATTTGCCTCGTGTGATCAAGGCTGAACGCCCCCAGGTGAATACGTTCCCTGCCAGAAAACTTGTTAATGTGCTTGGTCGTCTCTATGAAGTGAAGCGACAGTTAGCCAAGTCCCAGGGAGACAAAAAGCTTTTGCAAAAATTATGGTCGACTTGGCCGTCTGAATACAATGAGCTTTGGGGGTCTTGGAACCACGCTATTGAAGTGTTTGAACAACGCATTGCGCTTGAAAACAGGAAGTCCAAGAACCAAAGGCTGACCGAGTGGCGTACCAGAATGCGCCAGGGGGGCAAAGAGGTGACCCGGTGGATGAAGCCTCACAAACCTCCAACACCACGCTCTGTTTCCGAAGATTCTTGCGCCACGATCACGCAAACCCTTGATTGTATTCGTTCTTTTTGGCAGCGTATTTGGAAACGTGATGACCTCGTTCCACACTTACCCCCAGAATTTAGAACAATGGAAGCCCTGGCTGGACCCCAAACTGATTGGATGCCAGATGCTGCCCTCATCCATCAGGCCGCTCTCAGAGCCTCGGGGTCTGCAGCCGGATGTGACGGTTGGTCCGGCAGCGAAGTTTGCCATTTCCCGCTTGTTGCTTGGGATCACTACCGTGATTTGGTTTTGCATTGGTCTCAGTTAAAACAATTCCCACAGGCATGGCTGCAGGTTCGTCAGGTTCATTTAAGAAAGGATGACGGTGGGACTGTAGGGTCTTTGCGGCCTATTGCAGTTGAAAGCATTTTTCTTCGGTTGGTCTCCTCATCTTATGTGAGGACCCCACAGGTTCAGGAATGGATTGCGTCTCGGGTCCCCGAGCAGTGCCATGGAGGCTTGAAATCCCGGGGGGTTGCCACGGCATGGAGGCAACTCAATGAAGCGTTTGAAAACCAGGAAGTTCTTGCTTCTTTAGATTTCTCCAAATGTTTTGATTTTGTCCACCCAGGTTTGGCCATTGAAAACATGCAACTGCAAGGGTTGCCAGATGAGTGGGCTAACATTTTGATGTTTGTATGGGGTCATCAAGTGCGATGGCTGTGCTTGGGGAAAGCTGTGCACCCAACGCCGGAGCATGTCCAGACCTCCATGCCGCAAGGTGATGCCTTTGCACCTCTGGCTCTTATCATGTTGCTCATTAGGCCCCTTCATGATGTGTCTTCCATTCAAGACTTGCGTCAGGTTGCATACGTTGATGATCGCGCTTTGAGCGCGCCTAATGTTCCACGTTTAATTGCTGGCATCCATAGATGGCGCAGCTGGAGTGCCACTTTGGGTCTCCATGAAAATGTTCAAAAAATGCGTTTAGTTGCCTGCACTGCGCAACAAAAGCAAGAGATCAATGACGCAGGGTTTGGTGAGTATCTCCGACCGGCCACTCGGGTCTTAGGTATTGACTTTAAGGAAAGTGACCTTATTGTTTCCCCTGTTCTTGAAAACCGTTTGCAAGAAGCAGTGTTTGCCGCTCACCGTTTGCAGAAATTGCCGGTTGCCCGCGATATCAGGATGTCTTTGTACAGGTCCAGAATCATTTCACTCGCCACCTGGGGCGCTTGGTTTGAACGATTGCCGCAGTCACAGTTGCCTTCGCTTCGAAAGGCATGGCATGCCATTTCCTATCTGCAAGGTAACGCTTCGAGACCTCTTTTCAACCTGCTTGTAGGTCATATGTATCATGCTGAGTTTTGGGCCACCATGTCTTCCATTCGGACCATGCGCCAAGTTCGTGCCCCTTGGCGAAGGATGCCACGACCTGCTGGCAGAGTTTCATTTGCGCACGCATGCGAGAGCTGAACTGGGAATTTCGCGGTCCATGGATGTTTGCACATGAGGATTTGGGTCATGTCGATTTATCCAATCCAGATGAAGCTGTTGTGAAACTCACCGAGCACAAGGTGAGAGAAAGTTGGCGCCGAGTGCAATTTGCCCTTTGGAAAAAGCAGAACCGCCGTGATAGGCATTATTTGCTTGATGTGCCGTATGAGGAAAGTCGTGTTTCCGATGCCCGCAAGTTGTTCTCTCTCACGTGTGATAGTCATCAGAGGGCCGTAATGCTTGGTTCTGCGCATTCCACGGCATGTTATGATAAGATGCGTGGACACGAAGTGAGGGAACAATGTCCCTTTTGCGGTGAGCAAATCCCACCTGTCTGGGAACATCTCTCCTGGCATTGCTCCGCCGAACAGTTGTCTTCCGGCCGCCCTGAGGTCCCTGAAGATGAATTGCAAAATCGTCTTGCTTGGCCCACACGTGGGTGTGATGCCTATGATAGAGCGGTTCTTCACCACATGGCCCGGGTCAGGGCCACTGTGCGTGAAAACATGAATTGATCATGTCCCGTTGGCTGCGGTGTCCGGTACCTTCGGGTATTTGAGGCATCCAGTCGTTCAACCCATAATAATGTCTGAGGACCGTTGAGCAGGCAAGACTCTTGGAAATTGAACAGAGTACTGGCAATTCATAGGCGCATGGTGTGACGAGAACCAGTTTGGCAAGATCTATGGCCAAATTTCGAGGGCGAGACGGTGGGCAGCGTGAAAAATTGCAGATGTGATCGCAAATCATGTAAAGAAGCGTCTTTGGACCTGTTTCTGGGAATCGTGAAACCACAAAAGTCTTTTGAATGCAAACAATTAGACATTGCAAACATGAATTTGACTCAAATGGCAACTTGACCAAAGTTTATCATGATTATAAACTTGCGCAGCACATGCATCCGTGACTAGCAGATTCCGTGGCTCGGATAATCTAGTATCTGAATCCTTGGCGGGCCGACCATGGCTTCCCACAGCTCGGATGACGACTGGGCGGGGTTGTGGGGCGACAAGGCCTCATTGGGTTTGTCTGTTGCCTCCTTGTCCCAGTGACCTGGATGTTTATCGAGGCATGATTCTCAGCATCATTGTCATCATGTTTCACTTTCTGGTATAGATTATTTACGGCGTATTTTTTTGCATTTCCTTCGTAATGCATATTTCATGATAGCAGTCATGAAGTGAGAGCGGGTTATCAGGTGATGCAAGATCCGGATGCGTATCAGCTGGCTGGCTTAAGGATTGGAACGTTGTGACCATGTCTTCAATGACCTTGTGTTCAGTACATGTCAATTTTACAATGAAACTACAATTGCAGATTCATGACACTTTCTTTTTGTTTGGAGTGCATTCAACTTGCCGGGGGGTGTTGTGTAGCGCCATGGATGGAGATGAGGAGTCGACAAGCCTCAGAGGTTTGCGTCTGAAGTGGCAGAAACTTTCACACGGAATTTCCACTGATGTTGAGTCTCATGAAGAACATGTGGATGGCGATTCTCATGTGATGCACCATGTTTTCCCTGATGCCAGCAGTAGTGTTTTCCTGCCTGGTGGTGACAAACAACGTGATGCTGACCCTGCAATCCGCGGTAGCCCGGACCTGGATGTTTGGCCCCAAACCCAGTTTGATGCTGAGTCTTTGCAGTATGAACCTTCCTTGGCACACACCGCTGATGAGACTACAGATGTAGGAGGAAACAGCTCTTTTGTTGATGACAATGCTGCAGTGTCAGATCTTTTCATCAGAGGGGCCCGACATGCGGGAATCACTATGCCTTGGGAGACACCGCTGATGCGTGGTATCTTTGGTGAACTGGGACCCAGCGTGAACCTTAATATGCCGCTGGATTGGGGTACATCAGATCTGCCACTTTCAGACTTGGAAGCTTCCAATGTGACTGAGCCTTTGATTCCGTCACAATGCAGGTGGTCATGTGCTCAGTATGTGCTGCATAAGTCTGATGAAACATATCTACAGCAGAAAGACAGAACAATGAAAGGCGCACTTGCCAAGTGGAAATTTTTGGTCTTGACTGACTGTCGTTTCTCCGAAGTTGGCCGTCAGCTCATAGATGCTGACGATGAGCAGGTAGCTTTGGTGTTGACCTCAGTGATGGGTGTTAAGTCACCCAACACAGTGCTGAAACGGGCTGGAGCCATGTTGATGTATTTTCGATGGCATGCTGTACATGGAACCGGAAACTGGTTACCTTTTGATGAGAACACTGTCTGGCGATACATCATGCATCAATCTGCAACGTGTGGAGCAGCGTCGAGATCTCAGTCATTTGTGCAAGCGCTTAGATTTGGACACTATGTCATGGGTTTCGACAATGCTTTGATGTGTGCAAACTCAAGAAGGATCGTTGGACAGGCACAGCTGCAACTGTCCACAAAGGCACCAACCCGTCAGGCGCGACCACTGACTGTCAAGGAGGTCAAGGCGCTGCATGCCATCGCTGATGGTGTCAGCCACTCGTTGGTGGACCGGTGCATGGCTTCAAATTTGCTGTTGGCTATGTATGGAAGATGCCGTGTCTCTGACTTGAACTTCGTCCATGAGATTTTGCATGATGTGTCAGGGAGCTCTGGTTTCCTTGAAGTGACAACGAGGTATCACAAGTCAGCCAGGTCAGCCCAACAGAAGGCACTGCTTTTGCCAATTGTCATGGCAAGCGGCGGAGTCACGGATGTCCCATGGCTCCATGCATGGATTGCAAATCGCAAGGCTTGCGGTCTTGCCACATCAGGACTTGTGCAAGGAGCCCTGATGCCAGCGCCTTGTTTAGGCGATACAGTTAGCTGGATGAAGCGACCCCTGACGCCCGGAGAGGTGAGCAACATATTGAAAGGTTTTCTGGCATGCGATGATCCTGCACTTTCCAGTCATAGCCTGAAGGCTACCACACTGTCTTGGGCTTCCAAGGCGGAGGTCCCAAGAGAGCAACGCAGGATCCTGGGGCGACACAGCTCCGCAGTGCAATGTGCGGACTCCTATTACAGCAGGGACATGAGCATTGGGCCGGTGAACTCATTGTTGAAAGTCATCAACATGGTCAGAGATGGCACTTTTCAGCCAGATGCTTCAAGGGCAAACTATTTTCCAGCTAGTGCAACCATGTCTGCCAGCACACCAGCGCATGTGATGATGCAACCTTTCACACCAGCTTTCCTGGAGAGGGGGCAACCTTCAACTCCCTTGGTACCGGCTCGAGTTGCTGGAGCTGGACGTGGGACACCTGTGGGGCCGGTGCCAATGTCACCGGTAGACGCCGCCGATGTGAAGAGTGAATCAAGCTGGAGCTGTCTTGGCGCAGGCCGTGAACTTGGAGTGATTGAGTTGTCTTCGGACTCAGAAACGGAGAGCTCTGAGAGCAACAGCGTGGTGGACTCGTCTGATGAGGACGATGCAATTGACCTGGACTCTGACCCGGAAGGAGAGGAGCACTGTGATGTCGTTGGCAAGGCTGACTATGGAATCGCAACAAGGAATTTGAAAACGAAGGTTGTGCATGAGTGTAGAGACAAGTCGCCTGTTGTCTTTGGCAACCAAGACGATTTTTTGGCAGCCATGGAGGGTGAGCTCACAAAGTGCGGAAGGATGGTCACAAAGCAATTTGCTATGGTGACTGGAAACTTTGATTGGACGGCGAAGTGCCGAGTGTGTTTCAAGGGACGCAGGGATCCAAACAACTTGAATTGACATGGCCTGCCACATTGCTTTCACCCTTCGATATGTTTCACCGTGTCCGAGCCTTGCTGCAAAAAGTTGTTTTTCAGCGTTTCATGTCACCAGTGGCAGATGTGCACACTGGAAAAACGCAAATGAATTTCTGAATGCAGATGAAGTCTTGGTGAAATTTTGCGGCATTATTCCACAGTTGTCACTCATGTCTTTCATGTCAATGTTTGCTTTTGATGTGTATTTCTGCTGGCGATGTGCCAGAACTCTGATTGGAATGCGATGTGCATTCACCACAATGTGTGGTCATCCGCAGCGATGTGCTGAGGAGCACAACATGGAATAGCTGGATGTCAGCAAATGTTTGATTTGTGAAGCCTTTTCATTTTCAGTGATGTTTTTCAATGTCAGGATGCACCTCTTTGAGCTTCAATGTTGCTTCATGGATCTCTCACATGTTTTTTTCTCAGGGTCATTTGACTTCACTGACTTTTGATAGTTTGTTTAACTCCACGGGTTTTCGGCACCCACACTCGATTGTGTTGCCATGACTTCAATAGTGGATTCAAAAGCTCATTTCTCGAAGAGATGCCGAGACATGGGCATGACGGATCGGGCTATAGCAAGCCTTACACAAGGCAATCTGGATACTATGGGCAAATTGGCCTTTGCCATTGGTCAACCAGGCCACCTTTTGGATGCTACAGAGTTTGCTACGTTCGCACAGAACACCTTGGGAGCCATGATCAACCAGGCCGACACGGCCGTTCTCAAACGTTTGGTGTTTGAGGGGCACACAATGGTGCTTGGACAGCTCCGTGAACTGGTTACAGATCCAAACGCTGCTTCAAGCAGAAAGCTCCCAGCAGTGGAGCGAGAACATCGCATGGCCGAGTTGCGCCAGAGACTTGTCGGGGTGGTCTTGGAAAGACAACTTGAACCGTCACATGAGTTGCTTGAATCGATGATGCAACAGAAGGAGGCCAACCAATTGAACTTTGTGCAAATTGAGCGATGCACCTCAAGAGAATGGGAGATCACCATGGGCAAGAACAAGAAACAGTTGGCCTTGGATACAGAGAAACTGATCATAAAGGAGAAGTCTGACATCCCCGATCAGTTCCACAGTTCGGAGTTGCAGGCGTTTGAGGCGCTACGCAGAAGGGGCGTGGCCATGACCTTCGCTGACATGATTTCTTGGGAGGCGCATGAGAGGTATTTACAACAATTGACCTCTCACCTTCGCAACGAGCCACCTCCAAATTTCATGCGCCCGACATTGCCTCAAATTTTGAAGGCTGATCGACAGGTGTTTTTGTTCCTGATCCGTGTGGGGGTGGACTTGAAACGGCAGCCAGACAACAGTTTGCAACTTGATGAGAAGATTTTTACAGCTTTACAGTCCTACGAAGTGGGGTTTCATTTGTTGCCCCTCCCGAAGGCCACTCACAAGGCAGAGACACCAAGCCAGCCGGCGCACAACACTTCATCCTATGGGAGTGGCAAAGGCAACTGGACAGATAGGAGATCACACCCTTACAAAGGCAAAGGCGGAGGTTCACATGGAAAAGGAAAGAACAAAAGCGGGCGCTCAGTGTTGCCCAAATTTTTGCTGGGACGTGACAACACGAACATGGACATGCATGGAAGGCGCCTATGTTTCAACTACCAGATGGCGAAGTGCAATGATGCACCAGACGGAGGTGAGTGCCCACGTGGATGGCACCTTTGCAGCAGGAAAGGGTGTCATGCTCCTCATGCTGAAAAAGATCATGATCAGAAGAAGAAGTGACACGCCAGGGGCCGCATCAGCTCTTTGGTGGAGGCTGGTGTG